CCCCAATAACATTTGAAATTTTAACATTTATCTTTTTTTAATTACATATTAATTTTAATAATAAAGCATTAACGAATATTTAATTATATAATATATAATTATTAATACAAAAAAATCCTTGTGCATGTTAAATGTTTTTTCATATAAAACAGCAGTAATAGAAACTGAAAAATATCATAAATTCTAATATATAACATTAAAAGGGGGGAGAGCCAAATGTCCCTCTATATAGAGCGATGCCAACTTGCTCTGTTTAATGGGAAACTTTTTTCTAGTGATAGCAAAATTTATGTTTTGTTTCTTGGTTTATGCAGATATACAATTATTTAATTTGATATAAAATTATTTTTTACGCCACTACCTATGTATAATTCGAAATTTCGTGTTAAACACAATTTCATTCCAGTTATCTAGTGGTAAGCATTTTAAATTTAACCAAAATTATCCAAACGTTTGCAAGTTTTGGTCTTTAACTTTCCACTACTTAATAAAACATTTCTGAGAAATCTTAGCAGTTGGCATCCCTTCACATAGACATCATTTCTAAAAAATATAACGAACGCATATAACGCTAATTAATAATTTATGCGTAATACATTTATTTAAATATTTAGGAAATGATTACTTACAATCAAGGAAAAAAATCTTACCACTTAAATAGTTGAATGAATTAAAACCTATCTGAAAAAACTGTTACCTATCAAATTAGATTATAAAATTCTAAAATGGACTATAAATATTTATTTTCTTGAATTAAATTTTGAAATAACAGCTAGAACGAGCAGAATTGTTCATAGGAGCGTGAACACTTAACAACTTACAATTACGTCTGTCTTTATTTTTCAAAATAGAGGGGTGTATTCATTGTTAAATCCCTTCATTGCTTCAAATTAGTTGATGAGCCAGACAGAAGCACCTCCCATTTTTAGTATTTCACACTTTTGTGGAGGTGATTCCCACCATGGATGACAAATATTTCCTGTTTTGGAAGGATTTACGCTAATTTACAGCAGGGGTTCTTTTTGAAATCTATCCAACAGATCCGGAAAACGTTTTTCAAAGAGATTTTAACCCCTGATGAAACTGAAGATTTACAAGCATGAGACACCCTATGGATTTTACATTTCTCTGTCCTCTGGTCATCACCGAAGATCTATCTCTGTCTGAAGGGGTTCCCTGGTTAATTGCCTTTTTAGAAGGACTGCAATCTTGTAATGTGATACGAAGAGGAGGAACAAATTCTTTTCTCTTTGCTTGTGGTAGTGGAAAAATAAAAATTTATTCAGGGATCATGGATTCTCTGCATTCTGGTCTTTCTTTTAATCTTTTCTTGTTTAAGAATGGGGGACTTCTTCAAAAGAAAGAGTAAAGTTACAGTGGGATGCACTATGGGATGTCTCACTTTCCTTTAGATAAGGAAAAAAAGTTTCTTTACATTTCTCACCCACTTTTGAACATCCTAAAATTCATTCGTTCGCCTTTCATTTTCTTTTAGTCTCTTATATTTTTACTCAATTTTTTCATATAGATAAACATTTTAAATTTAAGGATTCAGCTTCTTTATTATAGTTTAGTTTTAACGTATGGTATTTTCAAATGTACATAAATAATATCAAATAATCTAAGTCGAAAAGCATTTTTTTAAGTAAATTATTTTAAACTGAAATGAATATCAAAGTAAACTATTCTAAATAAAAATCAATAAATATTTTTAGGATTTGTTTCCTGTTCTTATTATTGAAAAGTACATGATTTTAAATAAATATGTTATGCATTGCCGAGGAAGAAGAAATTTGATATATCGATATATTTACTACTCAAAAGCTATAACATCATACATAACACAGGCTATATAAGCTTTTGAAATATGGCATAACTTGCATTAATACATAATAATAACATACATTCTTAATGCTAGTACATATTCTGTACTCTTGTAATAGAAAATTTTTTATTTAGTTAATTATTTTATTTTTATGTATAACCATGATTTTTTGAGGCTATTTCAGTGTTTTTTTCCTTATGCAATATTACAGTTTGACTCTGAGTTAGATTCTTCTCGTTAAGCTGTTTCTTAGACTATTTGCGAATTTACCGTAAAATTAGTGTTCAATACAATTCAATATGCTAGCATATTGTGCGTTCTAAAATAATCACACTATCACTTATATACAAAACTCACTTTCTGTTGTTAATTTTCACAAACATGAAATTAAAGTGAAGCAGCATGTAACGGTTTAATTATAAATTAAGTTTATTATTAATTCAGAACTTTAAATTGTTTACATTAAACACATTAAATGTATAGAATATTTTTGATTGATTATTATGAATAAAATAATAATGTAAAATAAAAAAAACACTACGTTTTTCAAAGGAGTGGAAACAAACCGATTTTGACACAAAAAGCGAAATATTTGGATTAATAATAATAATAAATGCGGTAGATAACAAGAAATCTTTTATTAATTCATGGAGAACTGTCTCAGGTTTCTCAACATTCTCGGAGATTGAAAAAAAGAGTTGTTTGTTATTTTTATTAATTACTAATTTCGTTTCTATACTGAATTAACTTTTTGTATTCTCCACAAAAATTGGTTAAAGTTCGATATTTTTTTTTTTTACTTGAATATTAACCTGACACCCACAGCGAAAATATTTTTAGTAAAAATTTAAAAAGCATATTCGAAAACATTACATAACACCCGGAAAGTTTGAAAACAAAATTAGGTTATATTTTATAGATTTGAAAGGGAGGGGGGGAATAGCTTGTGGATCAGGAAATTTTTAAAATGAATTTTTAAAAATGAAATACCAGGAATGTCGAAATTATTTTAATTTCAGCAACCTTAATATTTCAGCAACCTTAAATATACCTCAAATATACTTCAAAATAACCTCGATACATCAAATCAACCTTAAATATATCTTAAATTTTCGTAAGGGTGCAGATATAAGGTCCTCCTTTCGATGATTGTCTGAAATTGATTGCTTTTTTTGAGAGTGGACAGAGAGAAAAGTTCTCTACTCGTGAAACCATTTCCAAAGAAAATTTATTTAATTTTAAATGTGAAGATGAGAGGAAGAGTATTTCTCCAAAAATTTCTCGTTTGACATTTTATTAGGAGATGAAGATGATGTTATATTACTAGCAATATATAACGAAATATTTAAAGCTTAAATTTATTTTTCATTAATTGACACATTAGTTAGTCAATTAAAATCTCTTCCAATGGCATATAAACCCATAACTGATTTGTTCGTTTTTTTTTTTTTTTTTTTTCCAAATTTAAATTTTTTGAAGTCCAAGGAATTAATGCTTCAGTGTTATTATTTTTTAAGAATAAGGATAATAAGTTAGATGAATTCGGAATAGATGCATAAAGTAGTATAAAACAGCAATCTGCAACCCTAAACTTTCCATGCAAATAATGTATTCAAGTTTTTAAATTGTTTTACTTTCTTAAAATAAAAATAATTAAAAATTATTCAAAAGTAAAATTTTTACTTTGAAATTACTCATAAAGGACCCGCAAATGAAGACAGATCCAGGGCCACTACGAACATAAAAACAGCGCTTTTTTTTTTCCAAATAAGCAGAGCGCTCTGCTTATTAGCAAAAAAAAGAAAAAGAAGAAGAAAAAAATGATGAATTTCCCTATGGGAAAGGCAGAAGAACTTGAAAAAACTCTCAAGAACATTGGCAAATCTTTCAGAAACAGAACACGCCAAACATTTGAAGAAACATTTCTCAATGATTTTTAACGTATATTATCAACAAACTTGCAACTGATAACTTCCGATTTCGGAATCGCATACTGCTACAGATGTGTGTATTACGGTAAAATACAATTTTTTTTGTCTTCAACTCATTACAAATTAAAGTGAAGTCAACATTTCTTACTTTATTTCAATGCTTGTATATGTTTGAAGTAATATGATTCAGAAATGCATAGAATAAAAATTCAGCTATTGTGTTTTTAAGTTACATACTGAAATTCATATCGAGATTTTGCAATTATAAAATTTTATTGTGTGGTATGTAGTCTAAAGTAATGAAGGTATAATCTATGTATATATTATTTGAGAATAAAGTTTTCAAACGAAGAACATATCATTTTGGAATTCTCCGGATTTATAAATTAGGTAAGTATTATGATTTTGATAATAAAAAATTTGCTTGTAAGAATTTTTTTTTTTCTAACTTGAGGATAATTCTTTATAGAATGGTTTTCTACGTCCGATTAAGAATTTAAAAAATAATATGATTATTATTTTAATTTGAGGAATTTTTAGAATCGTTTTTTTTTATAACCATTTTTTATTTTGCGTTTTTTAATTTATTAATAATGTTTTTTATTGAAACTTAAAATTTTTAGATAAAAACTGTTGACAAAAACTTTTTTGCAAAATTAAATGATATAAAATTATGGGCTTATGTATACTTTTTGCATATTTTAATGTTTGAAGTAATATGATAGGTCCCATTGGAGGTAAGGTCCTTATGGAATGTAAAGTTTAAATAGGCATTTCATGTTATATCATTATATTTAGTAAAGTTACTTAGTAAATTTAGTAGTTTGCTGGCATTAGGTTTTAACTCTAATAAGAAGATGCATTTTTTTTTCTGTTTATTTACAAATATTTTTCCGAGATGATTTGGATGTACCTTCTTTAAAAAAAAGAGATACCATTTTGTTTTCGCTTATATAAGAAGGAATATCAAACATTTCACTTTGTTAAGTTTAATAAGCCACAGTAAAAAAGGAGCGTTACAATGCAACACACTTCATTAAGGACGTAACAAAATGACTGTTCATATAGAAATCGCAGGTATTCGACTGATTTTAGTTCGTTGCGATCGTGAATTCTAGTAAACCTGAAAAAACAATTAAAAGATAACGATGAAAATGATGAAATTATTAACCAATCAAATGGGTCAATTTAATTAAAAAGACTGGTAGCCGAGTCAAATATCCTGGTATATAAAGGTGTTTGGTGTACATTGCTTTTCGCAAATTGGCAACAACTAATTTACTGTTGCAGACCCGCTGTATTTTCAAATTTGAATTTATTGAATACGAAAATGAAATGGATATTTCAATTCAAGTTAAATTATGTTTTCCGTATTAATTAAATGTTAGGTATGTTATTGTATATTCTATGCCATTCTAATTAGATTACTTTATACTGAACAATGAATTTTGTATTTTAATTCTGATTTTCTTTTTTTAAATTATTTTTAGGCGAATTAAATTTATCGGTTTTTCAACACTTAATATTTAAAAAATTGAGAACTTTTTTGGTTCATTTTTTGCTTTTTCTGTTTTAACTAAAGCGATGCATGTTAGCAGAGAGTTTCTAATGGACTTCATTCTATTATTAAATCACTTTATTTGTATATACAATAGACAATAATATAACAGCAAAGACAAGTAACATGACAGTAAAGACGAGTAACATAAAATACTGCGATTGTCAATGTTAAAGTTATATTTTAGAACTAAGAAATTTTTTTTTGTTTCTCTTGTAATTTTTTTATTAAATTTTCTTTTTATCATCGTTTTTATTATGACAGCATTTTTTAACCCATTGCCAGAATCTAGTTCGGACAACTATTTGTGATGCCCGAACTTGACTTCAGGCAGGAGAAAAATTAACTTTTCTATTTTTTGAAGCCCGAGCTGAGTTTGTTGCTACTTTAGAATACTTAATTTACTATTTTCCTGATTGATGGCAGTAGTGGTACTAGTTTTTTACTGATGTGATGTGGATGTTGTCAGCTTCTTTATTACAAGAATTTATTCATTTAAAATTATATTGTTGTATTTTTATATTATACTAGTTATATTTAGCTTCAAATTTTTGTTTAATTTGCTCTAATTGAATAAGATGTGTGTAATCCATTACTTTTTCATGTGTATGTAAAAATTATAAATACAGTAGTTATTACATTTAAAATTTTGTTTTTGTAATAAAATACCATTTTCTAACTTGTATTATAATATAAAGAACAAGATCAAACAGTCAAAAAAAATTTCCATTTTTCTGATGTATATGTTAGGGGTTAAAGAGCGTTTTAATGAAATTTATTCGTTTATGGTTACTTTTTCTAAAAATACAGCATCCTGAAAAAGTTAAATGAAGATTTTTAGTATTGAATCTAACCTTAAAAATTATTTTTATTTATTAAATTAAGAATGATTTTTATTTTGGTTTCTGTTTTTCTAAACATTAATGTTTTTATAGATTTTTTGATGTAACGATAGGGTTTCTATTAGACTTTAATCTTCATTTTTTTCTTGAAAATATAGCAATTGGAAAACAAATACTTAGCTTTAAAATTTTCTTTCAAAGATTAAGATAGATTTTTCTTAGCTTTTCTATCTTTGTTTTTATAGACGTTTTTATGATAGTGCTGCGTTTTTAAAAGCGTTTCTGATAGACATATATTTTGTTTAATAGATGATTGGTTTTTTGGAAAATTTTATTTTGAGCATTAAAGTTTAAATATTTTTAATTATCTTAATATCTAATTATTTTTATTATCTTAAATATTTCTACTACTAAAGTTTTTTTTTCCTTTACCCCATATGAATAATACAGCTTAGTTTTGTTTATTTTTCAATAATGTCTAAACTTATTTCTATATAAAAAATATTAATGTTTTTTTTTTTTTTTAAATAAAAAAATTGTTGTTCGACTGCTGGAATATTCGTTATTCCTATTCGGTCAAATCACTATTCGTTACATCTCTACAGGGTATCCGCGCACCTGGAAAGTCATGAATTTCGGTATTGAACAAAATTTGTCATGATTTTAACTATTTTTTTAAGAAAATAATGGAAAGTCATGGATTTAGGTTGCTGAAAAATCTAATTTTTAAAATGGAATTTAAAAATACCCCCCACCCATTTCATGGTATTCCGAATATCTGAATTTGTAATGAAATCCCCACTCACAGTCATATTTTATTAAAATATAAAATATTTTTATAATGTTCTTTAATAAATTATGGTGTTCTTTCAAAAGATGAAGGAAAAAACATCATTTCTAGAGCGAATTATCTTTTAAACATCTGTGATTTCAGAATTCTTGTTATATTATTTATTTTTTATTTTATTGATTTAAAATTCTAGCTGAAGCAAGCCAGTCATTGGAAAAAAAATTTTTATTCCGAAATGAGAACAGAAAAATCAGTATTTCTTTCCTTTCGGATGAACAAGAAAAAGTATCTTTAGAATATAATTCTGCAAAAAAAAAAATTATTTGCTTTTGTATTTTTTTCAGCTATTTTATTGCTTCAACTCTTTCTTTACTCTTTGTTTTTAAATTTAAAATCTATAAATATGAAGAAGCAGAGTATGAGAGTTTTGGTTATACCTATCATTTCAATTTAGGTTATTATAATGGTTTTTTAAATTTCTTGTGTTTTTGCCGGAGAAAATTGTAACTTCGTTAAGTCATGAAAAATCATGAATTTGAAAATCTAAAATGTAGCAGATACCCTGTCTCTAGAAATTAGTGTATAATTTATAGGTATTTATATTTTATTTAAATCTAATCGTGATATTTTACCAAGTTTTTACGAAACTGCTGAAAAAAAAATCTGAAAGTAACTTGCATACCATTAAATATTATGCCAAATAATATTTTATAATTGTACTCTTAAATTTCAGAATTGCTTTTATGTTATTTTTAGTCAAATATACATTTTGCAATAAATATTTATATTAGAAATTTTTTATTGTTATTTATTAGTTAGTATTTCTGAACCAGCAACATTAAGAACAAAAATATTTTTTATGGCTAAAAATTCCCACTCCCCATTGAGAACTAAATATTTAGGCCAGGCAATTAAGCTCTTTGCCTTAAAAAGTATCGTGTTTTAAAGCTAGCTACCATATTTTCTCCAGACATGAGAGCTTGAGCTTATAAGCTATGAGTTGAGGAATCAAATTCAGGAAACCTTGCCGAATTCAAGTTAATTTTCACTTTAACGTTGATTCGTATGTTAGAGAAGTTAAGCAATAAAAAGTTCTTTGAAAGTTTCGAATTTGCTCCAGATTATAAGTTTATCTTATTTTATCAATAAGCACAGTTCCTTATTACTTTGTAAAAGTTTAGATTTCTTTGTAAAAAATGCTATTCTTTTGTAAAGAAATTACACTTGTTTTAATTTCTGAAGTTCTGTAGTAAACTGATTTTTTCCCTCCAAACAAACAAACTACAATTATAAATTGTGTGGAAATTAATACAATCATTTAAAATAGATTGCAACTATAATTGTTTGATGTTTCTTTTTTTTTTTTTAAAGAAACATTTCCTCCACCTGAGTTGAAACAAACCTATTTCTTCCTGGGTAGGCTGTTTCTGTTTTTCTGAAGTTTTTCATCTGTGGAAGAAATTTGCTATCCCTGGTACTTAAGCTATTATACTTGCTATCTCTGGCACATAACTTATATTTATGATGCATATTAGAAAAGATTTAGAAGTTCATGTGTGAGAAGTGAAAATAAAGTTTAAATTCATGTATCTCCCACCCATCCCTTTAATGTAATTGGCCAAAAAATAATAGTGTAGTTCCTTTTACATAGAGATATTAATACCAAAACAGGAAGGATACTTAAGGATGAGTCAAATACTTTAGTATGCAAACTGTGCTAAAAATATTCTTCTATGTAAGAGAAATAGATTTATAGAACTAAAAACCTCTTAAAGTTTCTAGTTAATAGTATTTTCTATAAATTTTAAATTATGTTAAATGTGTTTTTATTTTAATTTCGTATATTTTGTTTTAAGTATAACAAACTGCTGTCATTGTTTATTAACTTCAAATTATAAGTCTGCTACTATAAGATAAATGTTTTTTTGTTTTTTTTTTTATAGAAATTACCATGTTTAGAGTAAAATTTATTATTATTACCTGTTGTTTGCCTTTTTTTTTTTTCGAAAATAAAGAGGACAAGTTGCAAGTAATCAGTTGTAAAAGTTACTCAACTTCGATGATCAAAACACCGCTAATTTGATCTACTTAAATATTATCCTGAAAGAAATGCAAGATGAATTGCAGCCATTAATAACCTTGGATGCTTAAATCATAATTGTGATAATAGAGCCATTTAACAAAAATATAACAACTTCTTATTTCAAACCTTTTTGACTAATTGAAATATTAAAGACATTATAAAATCAGCATAATTCTCTAAATGTCTAATTATTGCCCAAAATCTGTGGTGGTGAGTGTTATGATTGGATGAAATAAAACAGAATTATCCATTCTGATCTTGATATGGGTTCTTTTTAATGTAAATTGACTAATTTCATAGGTTTCATGACTCAATAATATTTTAATAAAAAGGTTTAAAAGTTACCAATAAGTTTTTATATTTTGGGCAAAATAGCCCTCTTTTTTGTGATTTACATTTATAATAAAGTATATTCATTATGCATTTAATTACCTCCGATGTCTATTTCAATATTAAAATACATTTTGACTGCTTCTAGATTCCAGATTAAGTAATGGATTCCCATTATAAAAGAAACTGCCTGTCACCTGAACTGCTGCAACCAAATAGAGCTCAATGTTTTGAAATCCCTGTCTCCAAATCTCCTGAAGAAGTTAAAGAGAATCAAAGATTTGTTTTGGAATTAAAACCCTTTGCTTCGTTTCCTCATGTGTCTTTTGATGAAGTGGAAGTTGGAACATCAAAAATTTGCATATTATATGTTAAAAATCCCCTTGATGTTCCTCAAACTATTCAAATTGAGAAGTTTCCATTTGATAAAGGGTTTAATGTCTCTGTAAGACAGATATGTGTTCTACCTTTTCAAGAACAAGGTGTTGAAATTATCTGGACGCCTGAAAAATCATTGAGCTGCCGTGAAACAGTTTTCTTTAAGACATCCTATGGAGCAAAAACGCAAGCATATCTTCACGGAAATGCTATCTCACCCAAAAAAAAGGTTTTTACTTTATTTTATAATTATTTATAAAGATTTGTTATGTGAATTTTATTTTCCTGTTCAAAATAAAATAGAAACAAAAATAGTTGAATTTACTTACACCTGATAAACTAATAAGTACTCTCTCTTTTGAAATTCCTTTTAATGGCCTCTTAAATTCATTATTTTAAAATTACAATCCCTTAAAATGTGCATTTTTGTTATTTTCCCACTGACGCCCAGTGGCTGAGTGGTAGCGCTTCACCCTCCCGTGCCACAGGTCTTGGGTTCCGGCCGGACAAGGCTGACTCTGCCTTTCATCCCTCTAGTTGGTCGATAAATGAGTACCAAGCATGCTTGGGAACTAAACACTTGGGTTTCCACGTTTAGCTGACCACCTAACCAGAACATCTGCTCCTGCACCCCAGAGCCCAAGGTAAAGAAAACTGAGATGGGCACAGTTGGCCTTTGCCTTCTATGGGCTGTCGCGCCACTGAGTTTTGTTTTTAGTTATTTTCCCACTAAACCTTGACCTTCATTTAACATATTTACCTAAGCAAAACTTTTGCAGAAATTACCAGAATCTACCATAATTTTAGAATCAGAAAAGTGGAAAGTTGTTTGGGGGAAAATAAATCCCAATTTCAAGAGCAGCAATGAATTATGTTATTACATTAATAAATGATAACTTAAAAACACTTCATATTTGTTTTAAAGTACAGAGTATTTCAAATTGTCTGTTATTTACAGGGTGCACGCTTAATATCTTCAAAGTAAAGATTTAAGAAGTGTTTTTTTAGTCTTGAAACACAACGCTCAAACAATGGATAGTTCATGAAATTGTCAGTTAGGGATGAGGGAAAAGGTAATAAGAGGTGTGAAACCACACATTTTGATTTAAAAAAAAAACATGAAAATTAATGGATAAAATATTTTATACATGGTGCTTAGAGTTTTTAAAATATGCTTAGTATTGCTTATTTTCGATTTTGGTTTTTTAAAGGCCCTTAAAAAGGTGCTTTTTTCGTTGGGTGTTTTCAAAAAGTGCTTAATTTTCCCTTTTTGTATAAAAGATTTTTTTCTTTCAACCTTTCACAGTTGATTCAATCACAATCCATCTCGGCGTATCGTCGGTCCTTAACGTATGATAGCACCAATCATGTTACATGCTTGGTGAAATACTTGGAAGTCTGCATGTGCCTCTACTGCTTCATTTTGCAAGATATTCTCAATTTCAGGCTTCATTTTCCACCCTATGAAATCAAACCGAAAAATCTCTCGATCTTTTTATGGTGGCTACTATAATCAAGAAAAGAGTTATTTCTCAGACACTAGTTATTTTAATATTCATTTTTTATCAGTAAATAGTTATTATAATAATAAACTCAAGAAAGAAAGACATATTTGTAAATTTCAATTACTTCTTCAGGTCGACATAGGTACTTGTGAATGGTATAGGTATGTAAAAAATTTTAAATATGTTTTAAGTAAACTAAGAAATATTGAAAAAAAGGAGAAAAAAAACTTGAAAATTTTTTTTTTTTTGCTCAATAAATTTTCCGGAATTTTGACTTGGGCTCACAATTACCCCTGATGTATTAAATAAACAATGCTTTTTTTTATTTCCTGACTTAGCGACAACTTAGAAATAAAATAATTACAGTAAAATTTCAAAGAAAGTAGAGAAACAATTATAAAATTTTGATTTAATTTTTCTTCAGCTACAAATCAGAAAAAGTTACATGTCCGTGCAGTTCATCGTCAGTCAAAAACTTTTCTTGTCATATCATTTTTTAATAAATAAATCAGGGTTGGCATGTTTTTGACATGTGACAGTTTTTGACAGTTTAAACCATGGTTTAAACCGTCACGTCAAAAACCTCACTGTCAAAAATGTCAAAAACCTATATTCATATGTGAAATTTAATTAATACATAAAATTTATATATTTTTTAAAGGATAGTGTTTCTAAATATGTTCTAGAAAAAATAAATTTAAAATTTTGAAGAAACACTTATATTTTGAATAGTAACCAAAATCTTGTACTTTTGAAAACTCACATCTTTTGTAATATTATGTATTCATTTTCATGTGTTATTGAAAATCTGCAGTGATATTATTAAGAAATTTATTTATAACCAAATTTAGTGTATAGTATAGATTATACTAAAAATTAGACATTTTTAAAGATAAACATTAGCAGTTTTGTACATTAGACATCTTTTAAAGAAAAATCTTTTTAATATTCTTTTAAATCTTCTTAATAATCTTTTTAACATAAGACAATACAAATTTAAGTGCTTTCTGTTAAATACACAGAGTAGTTAGTGTCGATTTACAGTATATTCAGCCTATTCATTTACTATGCTGAAAATTTAGTTTATCCAAATACTTGTGAATTTCATTTTGCTGAATACTATATAGTTTTGTTGAATATCTAAATATTCAGCTGTTGAATAATTACTTCTTGCTTTCAAGATATGCATTATTTGTATTCTTAATACAAGTGGAGAAAAAAAAATTAAGAGATAAAAATTGTTTTAAAATGATAAGTGTAATAATTATAAATAAATATAATAAACAATATGAATTATATTTATCATTATTCATAAATATAACTACTTTTAAATTCAAATTAACATACTGGATAATAAAGATATTCGGTATAACATTAAAAAAAATTTTTTATACACTTGTATCTTGTATCAAGTTTGTATTTATACAACATAACTTGTAAGTTCCTTATAAATATTAGTTATATGTTCCTTATATGTCAAAAATGCATAGTAATAAACTTTTAATTTTCTTAAGTATCAAAAAGAAAAAAAAAATTTTTTTAAATATAAATATTTAAACAATTTTTGTGCAAAATTTTTCTGCACATGCATTTGAATATAAATTTCTGAGATTTTAAATCTGTTATTTTACCTTAATTTTAATTAAAAAATATTTTAAAACCTGCTGATTACCTATAGTATAATTAAATTTCAATATAATGCATGGCAACTGTTGGTAGTTTTGAAGTTTATATATTTTCTTGGCAAACTTCAGTTTTTGACATTTTTGACGGGTTTTTGACGGTTTAAACCAGTATTATACCCTTGTCATGTCAAAAACCACTTTTTGACGTCAAAAACCCAACCCTGAAATAAATAATTAAAAATGAGAAAAAAGAATGCCATTTTCAGAGCCAACAATCTAATATTGATTTGCTGTTGAAGAATATCTCTTTTGTAAACACTTGTTTTTGAATAAGTTGAAGGTGACCACTGAATTCTCCCTAAGCTGGTGGAAAAGTGAAATTGGGTAGGCTGCCAGAAATCGCGTTTACCCAAAATTCCAGTTAAGATCACATTTTAGTGTTATTGAACGTGTTTATTTAATAATCTTGTACACAGGCTAAAAAAAACTTCTCTTGTTCAGATTACAAAACTTAAAGCATTTACAGGATGCTTAGCATTTTTAAAAAGTGCTTATTTTCGTTTTTTAAAAGCCCTTAAGGGTGCTTTTTTTCATTGGGTGTTTTTAAAAAAGTGCTTAATTTTCCCTTTTTTTAAAAAAAAAAATGAGATCTTTCCTTTACCATGTTGATTTTCGCTATGAATTATGCACGAAAAAAAGTTCTCATTGTTCTATTCAGCGTTTTCATAATTAATTCAACCCCTATCTATTTTGGTGAATTGTCAATCCATAGCATATGAAAACATCATTCGCTTTACAGGCTTCAAAATTTCATGATTTTTGACAATTGTCAAGAACAATTCCGTTTTTTTTATTTTTTTTTTAACATGACGGTTAAAACAAGATAAAACCGTAAGTTCTTAAAAATACTGTTTGAGTGCTTGAAAAGTGCTTATTTTTTGTTGAATAATTTGGCTACGCATCCTGATTTAGATTACATGCATGGAATACTTTCAAATAAAGTACCTACTTAAATTACTTGTATTTGCCGCCAAAAAGATATATTCTATTTTTTTATGACCAGCTATCTAAAAAATTCTGCGTTACTAGTTTAGCTCAAAAATTTATAAATCAAAATAGGACTCCTTAAGGTTTTTATCCTAATTGAATTTTTTGTTTCTGTTTTATTCTTTTACATACATGAATTCAAAAATTTTAATACGCTACACAAATTTTTATGTTTAATCTATGTAAGTTAGGTGTCACCAAGGATATCTTAAATAAGTAAAACATATAAAAATATTTCCTGTAATATTTTATTGAAATATATTTTTGTCTTTGTTGTTCATTGCTAATTTGACTTAATTTCAGAAAAAAAGAAAAACCTGGTATCCAAAAAAAAGTTCTCATGCAGCTCTTGATAAGATGATTAGAAAAAGTGATCTCAACAAGTGCGCAGTCAGGGAACCTGTTTTTGACGAGAAGAAAGAAAATGTAGACTTTTCATATGACTGTCAGAATTTTTCAAAACAATCTAATTTAAATCTTCCTTCATTTGATCAGTCTAGTGACTTTCCAGATGTTAGACGGCAGACATACACTATCAATTCTATGTTTAAAGACAGCAAGAGAAATACTGGGATATTTCGTATGCCTCTTCCTAAAGATAATTTATGTAATAAGCGAAAGGATACTTTCGTTTTATCAGAAATAAGTTCGGCTCCACTTCGGGAATTAGATATGAAATTCAACCTCCCTCAACATTCTGATAAGAAGTATGTTTCTGACATAGTCAATGATAGTTTGGAAGACTCTTCATTTGGAGCTAATCACAATCCTTCTGATGAAGTTAATTATAACTCAAATGATGTTGTAGATCTTGGCCCGAATATTAATGTTTTTAGTTTTTCTAACGAAGACATACCTCCCAATGAGCTTGCCAATAATACAAAACAGTTGCCACATCGAGAATCAAATATTAAATCCCACCTCCCTGAACATTCAGATAGGAAATATGTTTCTGACTCAGTCAATGATAGTTTGGAAGACTCTTTATTAGGAGCTAATCACAATACTTCTGATGAAGCTAATTATAACTTAAATAATGTTGTAAATCTTGCCCCAAATATTAATGTTTCTGATTTTTCTAACAAAAACATACCTATAAATGAACTTACCAATAATACAAAACAGTTGCATGTTCAAGAAGAAACAGCATGTGAAAGCATCTTTGATTTTACGATTGATAGATTAGGTATAAGTGTTTATCAAAATAAAAATGCTGATTTGCAGGATAGATCAAATGTTAAATCTTTGGCTGATGAGCTAGGTCGAGCTGGATCGAACTTTATCAATGATTCTACTTTAAATAGTTTCTTAATGAATGATAAAGAAGTTTTGTCAAAAGAAAATGATGGTAAAATAGAAGTCAATTTAGGAGGTAATGATTTTAATCATAAAATTTCTGATGCAGAGAGTAGCATTTGTGAGCCATATTTTGTAGTTAAGAAAAACTACTTCTCCATGTTTGAAAAGTCTGACTCAGGAAAATTTTCAAAGCAGTCTGCATCAGGCACTAATTATAATTTATCTCCTCATGGTTTATCAATTAAAAGTAGTTGTTCTCCAGAATCTAACCGATCTGTGGTATCTTCAACATATTTTGAAGTCCCTTGTAGTTTTAGTGAAAAGTCAAATGGCACAGTAAGTACAAATATCATGGCTAAGAAAAAAAGCAGGTCTCCACCTAAAGCTTCTGTATTTTCTTCAAAAAGACATCCCAAGAAATCACCTTTAAAGTTAAGGATGCAAAGATTTAAATCTCCAATCAAACCAAAGACTATTAATAAAAGTAAGTTCAATATAATTATATTCAATAATCACTTTGTCTCCCGATGGCAGCTAAAAAAATTAGCATAAGTGTTTATGCAGCTCATTCAAAAACTGCGACCCTAAATAACTTTTGATCAAATAATCAGATTTTTGCTTGTAGAGATGCTAAATATATCTTTAAATATTTTTAGTTTGATTGCTAATAATTTGTGCATATTTAAAGTTACAAAATGATATACAAACACATATTTTCTTTTACTTGGTACCATTTTGTTTCAGGAAGCTGTAAAGACCCGTTGCCACAATTTATTAAGCAGCACAATAATATTTTGGCAATTTTTTTACGTTTTCCAAATGGAACAGTACCCATACCTTTTCTTTTTTGACTCTCAAAATATAAAGGATAGTTGTAATCTGAAAAATATAGTCAATAGTTTAATCAACAGATAAATTAAAAATTTGAGCTTGTGACATACCAGTTTTTGCATATGTCACCAACTCATCATATCTCTAACTATTTTAAGTTTTAAAAAAAAATTTTAAATTCCATGCAAATGTTAATTTTAATTAATTTATCTCTAATTAATTTAATTATGATAGAATATTTTTTGAACTGTAATGTGTATTTATAAGAATTTTAACATATTTTTAAACCATGTAAATTGAAAGTAGTTGGTCTAATAGTTCACGAACATTAAAATATCAAAGATTTAATTTTTCATAAAATTATTTGATCTATTTTGTTCTAAATGTTTTCTCATTTAAAATTACTTTGATTACGATGTAAAAAATTTTATAATCTTGATCATGAATTAAAATTTCGTTTGATCAGTATCAAATTTAACAATGAAAAATTAAATAAATTAGAAAATTATTTTTAGTATAGAATTGCCTTTTGGTAAATGAGTACTATCATGCTGAATAAAACTTTTTTTTATTTCAGTCAGAGCAGGCATGTTTATTTTCTGCACTGTAACAATCAAAATTAAATCGTATTTGTGCATTATAATCTTTCTCAGGTTTTTCTATTTTAATAACTACGCTAATAACTAATATAAGGAAGGGGGATGGGTGTGATATTTGCCATTATTCATCAACGTCCTCTTCTAAAGATGAATTAGATTTTGAGAAATATTTTGATAATATTAAAAGGCTAAGGCAAAGCAAATAAAAATAATAACCAAGAGCCTTCAGATATAGAAATAAAAAAATATGATCTTTTACTTTTTAAAAAAAAAATAAGATGTATCGTGTGTGTTTGTTGCGTGTGCATATTAAAGGGTCGGAGTCTTTAAGCAACTTTACTTATCTATCTCTTTTTTTTTTATTTTTTGAAAGTGTTGAGCATTTTAAAACAGGGTTAGCAAGTGTTTGACACGTGACGGTTTTTACCGGTTTATACCATGGTTTTTACCGTCATGTCAAAAACCCCTCTGTCAAAAACCCAATAGTTTTGGTAAAACTGTATTTTTGAGTTTAACTGCTTATAATTTAAAATTAATTCATTTTTGGGCAATAAAATTAGGAAAAAAAAGTTGTTAAAAGATATTTAAGAACAGATTCTTGCATTTTCCCTACATGATTATATCAAAACATACTATTTGAAGTAAAATATTAGGATACTAAACAAAATTTTCAACATTTCCAAGCATCATTTTGTTTGGCATATTACATTACTGAAGAATGTCAAGCCATTCTTGACTTAGAGTTTGTTAGTTGTTACAAGCTTTGAGAGTTTTGTTTAGCTTATTTCTAATATTTAAGAAATGTCAAATTTTAAATTCTTCTTTTTAGTTCTTGAATTTATTAATAGTTCCAAGCTTTTTTTGTTTGCTTATTTCTAACAATTAAGAAGCGCAAAATTTTGAATCCTTTGCAAATCAAACTATAATGATAAAAGTAAGTATCACTATTTTCAATAAGTATATTACAATATTTCTATATGAATGTCTATCCTTCTATAAGAATACATGTATATAGCTGCAAAATCAATAGCAATCATTTATAAAGGCAATTATGTGAAAATAATATATGCCATAAGTTAAAGAAAACAGTAGGTTTTTGACGGTTTTTACCACTGTCATGTCAAAAACCAGTTTTTGACGGCAAAAACCCAACCCTGTTTTAAAATCCATACTGCTAATGTATTCTGCAAAAATTAAACTAGCTACCATCCCTAAAATTTTTAAAATTCTACTCAGTACAAAAGATTTAACCTAAGAAGCTTAGAAGATTCTGTGCTAACTTTTCGAAATGTATTTATTTAAACACTTTCTGTTCATTGAGGTTTGACAGATATTTCTTATTCATTCTGTATTATAACCAAGCATCTACATAAGTTCAAAATTTTCAGGAACAATGGAAAGTAACAGAGCACCTTTTTGCTTTAATAAAATTACAAAAGCAATTTTATTTTTAATTTAATGTGAACTGAAATATAAAGTGGTCAGAAGTGTGGTATATAATTTTATTGCACAGACTATTACTGTCAAACGAGGCTACTTTGATCCGCTTCATGATTTCACTAATACATGTGAAAAAATGTGAAATGAACTTTATCATAATTCAGTTTTAACTGATTAAAATAGTATAAAAAGTAAACTGTAATTATTTTAAAAAAGAAAATTACTTTTTTTTTTTAAATTTTTGGTATTCATAAAGATTTTTAGGGCCACTCACTTATTTTAATAGAAATGGAATACAGTTCACATGTTAGGCTGTTATAACACATATTTTTACAATTGGAATACACGAGAAAAAATTTATTTTTCTTTTTATGGTTTTTGTATGCTAAACTTTTTATTTTAACTCTCAATCAGCCGTCTCAGAAACATATGTTTGGAAGTACTCACCTTGCACCTCAAAAACATTGGTTTCATTAGCTAGGGAGGGTTGGTTTTGTATCTACCTACTTCTAAACAAGAATATCCTTTCTATCAAGCTCGATTTACGTTATGTTTACAAAAACTTAAAGGAGGTAAACAATTTACACATTAAAACAATGGTTTACAAAAACTCCAGTGTTGTTATTGGCAAAAATTTTACATAACCCGAATTTATTATAATACTCTCAAATAGTTATACAAACTATTTTTTAAGCATAAAAATTACCCACATGTCATGTATTCTGTTTGAAAATCTTTTTATTTCTTTTTTCCATTGGACCAATCAAAGTGACCAAAGTACCTCCAGTTGACAATATATAATCAAAATCCTATTAAATAACTGAATAACATCATAATATGCCTTTTAGTTTTGAAGATTTATAGCAATATGTGACTTAGTTCAAGTGAAGAGGTTATCAAAGTACAAAAAAAAGTGGAATTTTAGAATGTTCTTGTCAAATATTATTATTTGTTTTTTAAAGTTTTTAGTTAAAGGTTAAATTTTATTAAGATAATGTGTGCCAGCTACGAATTTTTTGGTGGCATGGCAAATGGGATTTGTATACAACTCATTATGACAAATGTTAAAATTTAGTTAATGTTATTCCATATTAATTTGATGCTACCTTTTTTACATTTACAGTGGATAACAAAAAACTAAGAGAATCTGCCAGCGATGTAAAGATTTTAAGAAATGTCCCACGGTCTTTATCCCTGAGACAAGAAAAGTTGCTAGGTAAGTAATTTATTTGTGATAAGAATTTATTGTTCTGACAACTAATCCTTTTTTGTCGAAACAAATTGGTTATAAATTGAATTGTTCTTTAGAAAAACTGTGCCAAAAGAATCCTTTCGCTTCTGTTAATGCTTATTATGATGAATATTGGATGGAGAAACAAGAAACTGCTTTTACGAACTGGCTCAACTTTATATTAACCCCCAACGATGATTTCATACCTTCCAGTGATGTCAAAGGTAATAATTATCAGCATAAATGTCATTTTGTAATTTTTTTTTAAATTCATAAAAAAATTGTTTTTTTATTGCCATTTTTAAGTAAAAAAAATTCGATACTTTCTTTTAATGTTATTACCCTTTTTGTTATGCATAATTTTTTTTTAACTTGCAATGTTTGAGGGTGTTTATAAAACACTTACCATTTTAGAATTTATTTTTTAATTTTATACTTCAATAAACCTTAATTAATAATTTTCAATGAAATTTCTAAGTTCGTTCCCAAAAACAAACCAAATTTTTTTAACACAAGCTTATTCTGAAAATAATCATAAACCTTTTCTTTTTTTTTTATGTTTCACTTTAGTTAGAACTTTGTAATGCCTCATGATAAATATAATAATAAAAAATTTAAAAGTCAATAGAGACATTTAAAAACACAGTAAAAATATATATATCTGCTTGTAAGAACTTCCTGAGCTGAAAATGGCTTTATAATGAAATGCAAATAAATATTAAAAAAATTATTGATGATTGTAAAGAAAAGGTTTTAAGAATTGTAAAAAATTATTGATGAAAATATATTAAACAAAACGTATCCAAAGTTTTTTTGGTATACTACTTGCCATTTGGTACACTATGTGAAAAAACTGCTTAAAGTAACACATTGAAACATTTTTTATTCAATGAAAACAATATATTCTACGAACTACACATTATTTTCTCACCCCATATACCTTTTCTTTTTTTTAATTAATGTTGTACCAAAACATTAAAAATTTGAAAAATAAAAATTATTAAAATTAATTTTGTCTAATTAATTTTTTGCAATTTTATTTTATAATTGTCATTGAACTGCTGTCCCAATTTTTGAGTTTACGACTACTATTGTTCTACTCGGTAGACTTGCAGTTGTGAACTTAAGCGAACTCCTGGATCAAGAATTGGGAGAAATTTCCCTTTGTGCGGTGCTTTTCTGAACTAGCCCCCATTTCCGCTACATAGGGAGGGAAACCTCCCACTGTTAGTCTGACAACAAGGAGGCTCCAATTCATAATCTATCTACCTCTCTCTCTCTCTACTCAGCTGCGCAACAGCCCTAGAGGGCCAAGGCCTACTGTGCTCATCTCAGTTTTCTTGACCTTGGGCTCTGGGGTGCAGGAGCAGATGTTCCGGTTAGGTGGTCAGCCGAACGCGGAACCCCCAGTGTTTAGTTCCCAAGCATGCTTGGTACTCATTTATCGACCTACTGAAGGGATTAAAGGCTGAGTCAACCTTACCCGGCCCGAGGATAATCTATCTCCCACTGAGGATATTTTACATTACTGGTCAGTTCCAACAAACAGAACGTTATTATCTTGAGAATGGAAGATTTCGTGTAGCTTTGAACTCTCCATAGAATACATGGTGCATAGCGTTTTTAAAAAGTGCTTAAAGGTGCTTATTTTCGTTTTTTAAAAGCCCTTAAATGTGCTTTTTTCATTGTGTGTTTTTAAAAAAGTACTTATTTTTCTTCTTTTCGAAAATAAGATTTTATTCTTTACCATGTCCATTTTCGCCACATATTATGCAAAGGCATGCTTTTCACATTGTTCTATTCCAATTTTTCACAATTCATTCAACCACAATCTATTTCGGCGTACCGTCGGTCCGTAGCGTAGGAAAGCGCTAATCATTTTGCATGTTTAATCAAATACTTGCGAGTCCGCATGTACGTCTACTGAGCAAGGTTCGGTGAGATTATTGCATTCTCATGGATAACTCTTCTGCATTTTGCAAGATATTCTCAATTTCTGGCTTCATTTTCCACCCTCTGAAATTGAACTGAAATTTTTTTGATAGTCTTATAATGGCTACTATAATCAACAAAAGAGTTCTTTGTCAGAAACTAGTTATTTTTTCATGATAATGTAAAGTCTTTGAAAATTATTTTGCATTTTGTTAATGTATATAGTGTTTAAAAATATTTTTGAGTGCTTAAAAAGTACTTAAAAGGTGCTTATTTTTTGTTGAGAGATTTGGCTATGCACCTTGGAATAACATGGGATTGCTCTTTTTTTCAATTGAGTGAGCAAACGGTATTAAACTTTTTTTTACCTTTGAAATACTATGTTTCTTCTAATCCTGTTTGTACTTTTAAACATTTGATAATAAAAGTTAGTAAACTATTTGTTTTTATTTGAAAGAATTATGTCTAGTGTATGTGTAAAAAAAATTTTTACTTAAAAAAAAAATGTCTTCTTAATTCATATATTTTATACCCAAACCTTAAAATTTCTTACTATCTAAGAATGACTCATGCCGTATTAGGCTGTTAGTTATCATTTAAAAAATTAGAAAGTGAGTGAGATAGTATGAAAAAATATCACTTACGGCTCCAAAATATTTGTTACATGAAATATTGGCCATCTCTAAGAAATGGAATTTTTGTTTCATTATTTTAGTTAATTCTGCTCAGGTTTGGATTGAAAGTATGAAAGACGCTGTACCAAATCCTGCTCCTTCAAAGGAAGAACTTTCTTACAAAACCTACACTGCTGCTCACCAGCTTAACCAGTTACGGAAGTCTTCTTTTTCTCTTTATCAGTCTGAAAAATTAGCTGTTGTTATCAAAAAAATCGAAAAAGAAGTAGATATGAAGAAAATAATTGTTCGTAAGGATAGAGCCATTCATGCAGATCTTGGTAATCCCCTTATTATTTTGTATTTTAATTTGTAGTTATATTTAACTTATGTTTAAATTTCTTAATGAGCTTGAAATTCCAAGTATTTTGCATTTTATGCTTATAAAAAAATTTTGTACTTTTTCATTAACCGGGGATGAGTAAACTTAAGTTTTTTATTTTATTTTTTTGTTGTATTATTATTTTTGGTGACTACTACCATCTTGTTAAAAAAAACAATAAAATAAATTTCAATCAGTGTGAGGATTTGAAATTAACAGTAATCAGTTTTGTCTGGAGCCACTAAAATCTAATTCTGTCCATCATGAAATAATTATCAGTGGTGCCCTGGAGGACTCGCAACTGATCATCGTCATGCATTATAAAGGGATGTGTGTGCTTGATATGCTTTGATTTTTTGGTTTGCTGTTTTAGTCTATGTTTCTATTGCAAAATAGAGAGCTTCATTCTTCTCTTTAATTTTTCAATTTTCTTCTATAACTTTTTACTTTTAGTTTGATAATATTGTTTCTACTTATAGATATGTAACATATAACCTATGTATTATAGCATCTAAAGTATGTTGATAAGAAGTTAATGCAATTAAATCCATGTTTGCCATCATTCTCTTACTTTCAAAAAGTTTACTTCTTGGTATGCATGTAATAGGCTGCTAATATTAACCAAATTAGTATGTCATGCAGGAACTTAATAGCATTGCCTGCTTTCCTCATTTGTGTTCAATATTTTCCTTTTTGAATTACTTTTTTTTTAAAAAATTGTTTATTGTTCTGCTGTTAAATGGAAGATGTCATAATAGTTTGTATATTGATTTAGATTATTATAATAATTTGTATATTAATAAACTTGATTTTTTTTTTTTTTTTGGAATCTTAAGTATTTTTTTTCCACTCAGTTGAAAGAATATCAGAATCGAAAGTTTTGTTTGCAGTTAAAGTTTTAGTTTTTATTTTAATAAACCTATCCTGTTTTAACATCTTATGTTTTGTTTAACCTAAGTAAATTGTGTGTTAATGATAAATAATTTTTTTTTTATTCTGACAGGTATTAAAAGGGATCTTTTGAAAATGCTGTTATCATACAATCCATTGTGGCTACGTATTGGGTTGGAAGTAATATTATTTTTCTTCTGAAATTTATAAAAAAAATTTTTTTGCTATTTATATGCATTTCTTAAAGTAACTTTTGCATGTTATATTTTAATTTTGCCTCCCTTTTCTGCTTTTTTTTTTTAAAAGAAAATTTGCTTTTCTTTAAATAAATTTTTGCTTTTTTTTTTTTAGTTTTTTTTATATTTATATATATTTTTTTTCGTAGAGATGTTCAAAAATGACAATGTGGCCGAATATTTTTCATTATACACTTCGCAAAATACATGAAAATCATTAAAATAAAAATATATAGATTGAGTTAAAATGCTAGAATTTTTATTCAAATTTAAATTATGTAGTTAATATAATTATCACTATTTAAAGACCACTGTATCAATAATTTTCCATTATGCAATTTTCTAACATGTATTACAACTAATCTAAACTTTAAATTTTTAGGTTGATGAAAATTGTAATTAGGTGCTTGCAAACAATATAAATTTTTTTTCGTAGCGTATTGTTTTTAAAAAAATAAGCTTTTTTTTTTTTTTTTTTTTTTTTTTAATTTCATAAGTGGTCCCTTTTTCTTCCCCCCTTTTTTTTCTGTAAAATTGTCCTATAGGTCTAAAATTATTTACACGATTTTCAAAAAAAGGCATTATACACTTATATATTCCTGAATAAAGTTTAGGGTAACTGAGGGTTTCTCCAAACAAAATTTTTGATTTCTTTTTTCCAAAAAAAAATAAAAGTTTTATGACTTGTTATTACTAACTGACTTGTGCTTACTAACTAAAACTTACTCCTTGAACATAAAAGTTATTTACACAAAATTTTCTTCTTAAATCAGTTTCTCTCAATTCAAATTTTTCTTTTTTGTGCGTGCAAGATATCTGACTTTTCATAAAGCTATTAAGTTTGAATTTTAATAACTGGTTTATGTATTGCACGCTGCTTAAATTCATACTAGCACTTGATTATTGCTAGATTTTTTTGTCAAAATAATTTATTATTAGAAAGAGAAAGTATTTTTTTAATCTAATACCATTTTAAAAAACTGTATATTTGACTACCTATAAAAAGTTTTTTTTAAAGTCATTGACATGCATTTTATGACTTTCACTTTGCATACTAGACAACTTAGTATTTTTTTCTCTTCAGGTTTTAGCTGTAAAGAAAGTTAAATTATCAAAATTTTTAGTATTGTTTCCCAAAATTATTTACACTTAAATAATATCGGCGCTTGACTTCTGTAAAATATTCTGAATTCTATGTTAAATTTTAAATAAGCTACAGATGTTAAGTTTGAAGTTTTCTTTCGATTATATCATAATCACCTACAGTTCTGAAAGCAATGTAAAAAAAGTTTAAATTAATATCACAATCGTTTCAGTATTATAATGAGGCGCATTCTTCTTAGTTAAAACATAGAAAAAGTGAAACTCATGATGAATAAAAAATTAAAAACAAGTAGCATCAAAAAATAAATAATAGAAAAGAGATAAATTTTTTTTCTCTTTTGGTATGAAATGGAGAAATGAACAGACTTTTTTTTTTACATGTATGTGACATGAGAGTTTAAAATTCTAAAAAGATAATTGTGGTTGCCTCAATAGAGCTTTTCAATACATTTATATCAATAATTTCTTAATGAGATCCCAAAAAAACTGTTTAACAAACAGTCTTTTAGAATTTGATGTTCAACATCTCAAATTAATGTTTAAAAATAAGTTTTGTTAGACTAACTTATCCCTCCAATGTTTTGTCTTTTTTTATAAATATAAATTTTTGATTTTTATTATCATTTCCATTCAATTTCAAGATCATTTATGAACACAAATTATAAATCTATTTTTCGTAAGTTTTCTTTTTAAAAAACTTATATGGTCATATAATCTTCTCTTTTCAGACAATTTATGGAGAAATAATATGCTTGAAGAACAATAGAGATATATTAGGTTTATCTCGTTTCATAATATTCAGGTTTCTCAGCAATCCAGAACTAGTAACTAAGTTTACCAATGCTGCAACCCCCAACTATTATAAGCCAGGTAATTCATACATATGAAGGTAAAAGTTAGAAAACATTTGATATTTTACTATCGAGTTATCATAAACGTATAAAATCTTTAATAATTTAGGTTATGAAGACGAACTAAAGCGTTTTTTGCTGAAGAAGTTTCTTCTCTTAGTATACTTTTTAGATGTTGCTAAAAATGCTCGCCTAATAGGATATAACCCTTGCCTTTTCAATAAAAGTTCTGACTTCAAGGTAAGTTCTGTCTTCTAATTTGCTTTTATGATTGTATTTCATCTGTTAATTAACGAATATGGTTTGAAAAGTGTCCAGTAATAATTAACTTAAGTACCTCATTTTTATTTAGTACAATTTTATTTTTGAAGATGAATTTATGAAAAAAATCATTGAATGAACTACCAAATATTGAATTTTATACTGGTAGGCAATCATCTAAATATGATACATGCCACCAGTAATATTTTGTATGATATAACCAGTTTTTTGCATTTCTTATAAATTTCCCCTCTTTGTGAAATAAAATGAATGTCCATTTTTTTAACTGCTGTTAGTGCTGATAGAAATCCAGAATTGCTTGGAAATTTAATTTTAGAATTAAAAATCAGATTAATATTATTTGCAAAAGCTTGGAAAATTTATTTTGCAGACCTTCAAAATAACCAATCTTAGAACAGTTGGTAACAGCTATAAGTTATTAAAATTCAAGTTTAATAAGTCTAATGTGTGTTATAGCTATTCCTTGTAAGATTCTACATTTCTATAGAATTTTTGCACATTACATTATCTTTATTAATGATATTTTGTTTTTCACAAAATCTAGTCTTTGAAACACCAAGTAAAATGAAATTGGTTTTCAGATTAAAATATTGCAGTTGAAATTTCTTGAATGAATTTGAAACTTTCCAGAATGTCTGAAAAAGTAAGGAAATGTTCTAGGAAAAGATACTCATCAAGATTGATTGCTTATGTGTAAATACAAAGAATAAATACATAGAAAGTCTCTTAGAGAGTTTTGGAATACCAGCCTTAAAAATTACAGTAATTAATCTTCAATGGCTTCTCTTTTCTGAAACCAAGCAGAAATTTTATCTTAAGATAATTTAAATTGTGAATAAATTTCTAGTTCTAATAGTACTAAGCAATATATCCAGAGCAATATAGATATTACTATTGAAAAAACGTTTCCAAGCTATTTTCTGGATTATATCACTTAAGTGGAATGCATCGCATTTTGGTAATTAGAGGCAAATTGTAATTGTTGTTGCCTTGTCAGTTTTCCAGAACTTGCGCTAAACACCATATCATTCTTGAATTGTTGATGTATAACCTTGCAAGATTATGTTATCAGAAATTATCTTTGAGTGTATCATGGGGGCAAATATCATCTAAGGACTTGTAACCCATCTCTTTGCGAAAAATTTTTAAAAAAAAAAAACTTTTAATGTTGTGTACTATTTTTTACTTTATTGTCCAAAGTCAAAATTATTGTTAATTTGTTAAGGAAGTAGATTTATGTTTATTAATAAGTTTGTGTTAAGAATTCTTTTTGATGTTGTAGTATGAGATTTTTTATTTAAAAAATTAAATACTTCATTTTTTGAAGCTGTTAATATATTTTTCTATTATGAAATTATGTGGTGACTATTTTGCTGTTATTTGTGTTAAAAGTAAAGTAATGTAATATGTTATTAGGTGGTTTATTATACTAATGAATTTTTAAAAAAAAATTTTTAGTCTAGTCGTGATATGTTGCTCAACTTTTCTAAAGAATACTTGAGTGGAGAAGGTGATCTGACTAAACATTTGCGTTATCTTGGTTGCATTGTAACATATCAACAAATGCCCATTGAAGAATTTGATTATGCTGTTAGAAATATTGCTACTGATTTGCGATGTGGCCTTAGGCTTGGGTAAAGTACTTTTTTTTATCATAATTATTCATCAATTTTTACTAGTTTAATTTCTGTTAATTACAAAAATAACCTGTCCTATTGTTACGTCAAGCGCTCAAGTTGCACTTTTTGATCTAGCTGCGCTTGTATGATCTAGTTGCCCTTTTGATTTATGCTAAGTTATTTTTCAAAAATCCTTTTGGCTGGCAACAGTTTTTTTATTTTTGTTTCTTTTTAGAATTCGTTCTTTTTTTGCCAAAAAAAAATTTTTTTTTTTTAACTTGTAATGTTTTTCAGCAGAATTCTTTGCCAGCTGTTTCTCTGTATATACGAATAAAATAAATTAGATATTTTTAAAGTGTTGTGAAAAGAATTTTTAGTTGTACAAAGTACTTCACCTATGATGTGAAATATTATTAATTTTCTCTTTAATAATATTTGTTTCTGTTAAAAGTTTTAAAAAACTTGTATAAAAATACCTATCACAGTTCTGAGGGAAGTAAAGTCTTGTATTACAGCGCTCTGAATTAACGTTGGTCTGTGACCACTAATATTTGACTTGGACCATCACAAAATATATTTTTAGAGCATAACTGTTTCTAAAAATGTTTGTTATCCATAACTTTATTTTTAAGGGGAAAAGATTTGAAACCAAACTTTTGTGTGAAACCCTGTTAATTTCAAAATGTATGACACTTAGTAAATTAGTTCTACTTATATTGCAAAGCATCACTTATTTATAAAATTAATATTAAAAAAATATAAAACTCATTTTAAGTTTCACACAATTCAGGGTTCTGTGCTATAACTGGCAGTAAAGAAGCATTTCATTAGCCAATGTGTTTCTTCAATGTTTACTTTTGCCCCTTGTCACAAATGATTGATCATTTGCAATTTGTTTTTGTTTCAATTTTGTGAGCTGCTAACAGCTCACAAAATTGAGTGAGCTGAATAACTTTTAAAAACAGCAGATAAAATATTTGTCTTCATTTCTTGTTTTGGAATTATTAATGATTTAATGATTATTAATAATTGAATATTTAAATGATTATTTAATGATTATTAATAATTGAATAATTTGAAATTATTAATAGTGAATGATTATTTAAAAATCCTCATTGCTATAAAATAATAAAGTAAACTTTTATTTTATTAATGTAGGAAAGTATTAGAACTTCTACTTCATGAGTGGAGCATTCCTAACACCCTCAGAGTAAACACTATCAACAGAGTGAATAAAATTTATAACAATGACGTAATTTTGAAAGCTTTAAAAAAGGTTTCCATAGAAATTGAAGGTAAGCACTTTATCAGCTGGTTTTTTGATTAATGTTATTTTAAAATAGCTTTAATTGGTTGTCACTAAATCTGTGTGCAGTCCCATAATTATAAGTATGGTATGTTGTAAAGGGAAATTTAGTAATAAAGTTAAAGGTTATAGGTAATTGGCGAATTTAAGTACCAAATTCCGTTTGATATTCTGACTCGCAATTTAACAGCATTATCTCTTTTTCTAAAAGCATAGTACTCTTAATATATGACAAGTAATAACTATGAATTGTTTATTATTATCAATCTAAATATTGATTTTAATTATTTTTTGCCACAATTTAGGCATATTTTTTAGATTAAGTATAACTAAAGTGGTCGCCAATAATTGTCTGATCTCGACTAATAAAATTAAAAAAAAAATTTTTTTATTCTTAGTGTTCGCAGGGCTGATTGTGCTCCGGAAAAAATCCGAATTTTTCGCAAACAGTGATCCGGAAGTTTCTGGAGATCGAAGGTTCAGAAGTTTAAAAAAAATCATTGATCACAGAAGTTTCTGGAAATCAAATTTTCAAAGATGGAACTTAAAAACACAGTTTATTTTATTTGTTTGTAAGGGAGAGCCAAAGAGATGCTTTATAAGCTTATATTCATGATTAATATTCATTTTTTATCAATAAATAGTTGTTATAATCATAAACTCAAGAAGGAAAGATGTATTTGTTATTTTTAATTACTTCTCCAGGTCATCATAGCTATGTGTAAATGGTATAGGAATGTGTAAAAGTTTGAATATATTTTAAGTAAACTAAGAAATATTGAGAAAAAGGAAGAAAAAAACCTTGTTAAAATTTTTTTCAATGTAAACTTCTTTTTTTCTTTTCTTTTTTTGAACTCAAGAAATTTTTCCGGAATTTTGACTTGGGCTCACAATCACCCCTGTGTTCGTTATTATTATTATTTCTATGCAGGTTAGCAGAATGTCTAATCATGCGAGCAAGGCTTTAAGGGAAATTAAGGCAGCCAAAGGAAAAATTTTCGGTCTAAAAATTCTCTGCAAAATTTCTTTAAATTAAAAAATTTGCTGCTTTGCAAATTTTTCCATCTTAAACAGCATTGAATGTCAATTTGTGTACTTATTAGTTTGAATTCCTTAAGTTTATGAGAGGGACCTTTAATGTAATAAATTATTACTATTTTTAACAAATGCTTGTTTATTGAAGAATTGTGTAAAATCAAACAAATTTCTTTTCTTATATAATTTTTACTTTCCAAAAATATTTTTAAAAATTATGGTGCTAAAAAAGAAAAATGTTAAAATTTTGGAGGAAATTTCGATAAAAAAAAAGTAAAAAAACTTTGTTTTGAGGAAATATTAGGGACTGAGAATTTTCTGTACTCTTGCTTATATGTACATAAATATTTCCATTAAATTATAAAAATAATATATTCTCTATTAAGTAAACTAATTATAATTTACAAAAAATATAAATGTTTGCTTAAATGAGTTAATAATTTTTGAAATCAATCAATTCAAGGGTTCAATTAAGTTGCCATCGATATTTAGTACAGTTTTTAATATAAATTTCCTAATTATATGTTATTTTATTATGTTATATTAGTTTAGGTCAACATTCTAGTCTATACAGCTGAGCATCAATCAAAAGAACAATTTCAAATTTTGGTCTTATTCATGCAAAACTTAAAAATGAGATTGTAGTACTGCGGCTTCAGAACTAATTTTTTGTAATCACTTACTTTGGATAAAACCAACAACTGTCAAAAACTTGCCAACCCTGCCTAATTATGGTATTTTTTTTTAAAATGCCTAAAAATATTTTTCAGTGTTTGAAAAGTGCCTTAAAGGTGCTTATTTTCTGTTGAAGAATTTGGCTACGCACCCTGTACATATATTTGGCGATAGTCCCAAAAAACTATTAGATAAATAAAGCTAAAAGGGTTTTTCTATTTTGATTAATTAAATAACAAAAGGTTATAGATTCGATCTTTGTCAGTCAATTAGGACGAAGATCTCGTGCATTCAACTTATGTCAGTAACGTCATGGTCTGCAGGGATCTGCCAGTTTCTTTTCATTTACTGTTGGTCGTTCTTGCGTGGATCATGACATCATCAGTTAGCTGTTTAAAGAGTATTTAAGCTTCTGTTGAAGCCGAATTTTTTGTATTCATTCTATATTTATGTTACTTGTTTGTCACTCTGTTTGTGAGAGTATGTCTACCAGTTTAATATGTTTTTAAAATAAATTTATTGCTATAGAAACTTGGTTTTCTTATTTGTTTTGTTGACAAACAGATACAATGATATTCTGTGATAATTTTGGATGTCAGAAACAGCCAGTCAAAATGCACCTCAAATAAATATTTTACAATAACCCATAGACTAATTCAATTTTACTCCATTGTTAAGCAATCAAGTTTAGATTATAAAAAATAAAATTTAAGTAATGTTCTGTATTTGCTCAGAGAGGTTTATTTATTAATAGTTGAAGTTTCTAGGCAATTGACAATTTTTCAGCTGCTATGTGCAAAATTTTTCAGATAATCATTTTTACATCTTTGATTGAGTCTTCTAGGCAAGAAAGTTTAATGAAATAAAAAAAAGTGACCGGGGAAAAGAGATGTAGATTGCATAGCAATTCTAATACACATTCACAAGGTTTTATATCATTTACGATTTTTTTTTTTTTTTTTTTTTTTTTGTAAGTGAAGGAATTGCTGAATGCTAAGTGGCATTTTAAAAGCATTGACATATGTTATATTTAAGAATGACATATTGAAATAATGTGTTGCATATTGTATGATTCGTTGTATAAAAAATTGCTTTCTTCTGCCAAATTCTCAGTTTACATGGCTTTTTTTTTTTTTTTTTTTTTTTTTTTTTTTTTTTTTTTTTTTTTTTTTTTTGTTCTTTTTATTTTATTTTTTCTTTTTTTTTCTTTTAAGGTTTCATGGTTCTCCTGACCAAACTATGGGAACCATATTTCTGAGATTGTGGTTACCCCCCAATATTTTTAAAGTTAAGAATCCAAATATGTTTTTTATTAATTTTTTTTTTTTAATTTAAAAAAAAACATGTTTTTTAGAGACAGTACGTTTTTGTGTCCTATTTCATAATTTAATTATAGTTAGCACTAAACAGTTGCATAGCATAGTTGAGGTCACCCCCAGGAACGATTAAGATTGACACTTAGCATGTGAAAATCCGATCATTAGAACAAAAGTTATTCAGGGTGATATCTTTTTTTTTCTGCCCACTGTGCATAGTAGTAGAGGTCAATCTGTATTTGTCATACATCTCCTTCATATATCACTGTTATAAATAGTTAATGTCAACAAGTCAATAAATAATTTTGTTAGTGTTTAATTGCTAAGCTTAAAACTAATGTGCTTTAATATTTTTCTGCAGGAAATATTGATGCGAGAGATATTGTTGATGGGAACAGGGAGAAAACTCTTAGCTTGCTATGGCAAATCATATTCAAAACTCAGGTACTTAAAGAAAACTTCTTTTTTTTCACAATCCCTTTGCTGTTCTGATGGCATTTATTTTTAAAAGTCAATAATCTTTTCTAGATTTCTAAATTGCTGAACAAAGAAATACTGATGAAAGAAAATGCTTACCTGAAGCGTCTTTTGCAATTAAAGGCTGATTATGCTGCATTCAGTGCCTTTGAGGAATCTAAACCAGAAAATTGTGATTTGTCTTTCACTAATTCAAAAATGTATGAAGATAATGAAATATTGAAGCATTTATTACAATGGTGCCAATATGTTTGTGCTCAATACAAATTAAAGGCAAGTAAATGTAATATTTTATCTAATTTTTCTTAGTGTAAAAATTTCACTCATTTTGATAATTTGTGAGGGGTTGTATTTAATTTTGCAATAACAGAAATAGTATAGCAAAGGCAAATATATATATATATATATATATATATATATTGCTTGAATGTTTGTGTAAAATTTCAAATGAAAAAGAAAATTAAACCACTATGCGTTTTCTTTCTCTTTTTTAAGATACTTCAATGTATAGCTTTATTTTGTGATATTGATCATTCATAAGTCTGTACCTTTAAGTTGTCTTCCACAAATATATATATCCCAATGTTATTTAAAATGTTTAATATACTTTGTTGTGAATATTTTTAAGTGGATTTTATAAATAAATAAGCTTTTGTATTAAAATTTTTTTAAAGCAATAACCTAAATTATAAACTTTTTGAATAAGTATATTTTTATATTGATAAATTAATCAGTTTAATTAAATATATTATAGTACAATTTTTGTTGAAAATTAATTTAAATTTTAAAAGTTATTTGATTTTGTATTTATGTTTAAATGTTTTGCATTTTTTAGTATTTTTTTTAAATTGTTATATTGATTTAGGTCCAAAATTTCACTGCATCTTTTTCTGATGGCCGAGCATTGTGCTTAATGTTACATCATTATCACCCAAATATACTTCCTTTTGAAGCAATTAAGCTAGAAACTACTTCAACCTTTGTAGCAAAAGTAATGGAATGTGATGAAACTGACAGCAGTCCATTTATGTCTGAAAATGGTAATTTTTTTTTATTATTTAATTTAAAAAATTTATTTTACATTATAAATTTCCCCCTTTAAAACATTAATTCATCGTGTTCGAAAGATTTAGTGAAACTAAATTAATTGTAAATAACAATTAGTTTAGTTTTTTCTATATCTTTCAAAAATGTTTTATACATCCATTAATGTTAGTTAGCTGTACTGAAATTTACTAGTTTCTTCTAATTTTCCAATATAATTACATATTTTTTTACATACATTTTTTTAAATTGTTAAAATGACTTATTACTCTTAAAATTTATAAAACTGATTCTAAATATTAATAATAAAAATGCTTTGGTGTTTTCAAAGGAAAATATTACTTCATTTAGAAGAAACATTTTAAACACATTTTCCTTTCTTGTTAGAAAAACACTTAATAATATTCTGCCCAGACCTTTTTTTTTTTTTCTTCTTCCAAGTGATTTAAAGATGCATACTTTTTTTTTATTGAGCAAGGAATTAAAATGAAAAAATCTCTGAATTTATGCAGAGTATCTAGCTATCTAAACAGTTGGTTAAAAATCTGGAAAAAATGGGAGAAATCTAAAAAAATTTTAAGATAATATAGAAATATTCACGATACAATTTTAAACCTAACAATTTTTTCAATAGTTTAAAAATAAAATAATTTCACCTAGTACTAGAAAACCCGGTCTTTAAATCAAAAGTAATCAGGGTGTTTTTTTTTTATTTGTTTGTGCTTTGTACAGTGCGCAAAATAGGAAACGGAATGAATTTTGATCTAATTATCGGATGTTCACGTTCTATAACTCAATTTTACCTCAAATATGTTAATTAGTGCAGATGATATTTTAAGTTATGAAATCATATACAAAAACGTACTTTATGTGAATAAACACACCTTTTTTCGACGGATTCGAATTTGTCATCCCCAAACTATAGGGTGTAACTGCAATCTAGAAAATATGGTCCCAATATTTTAGTCAGGAGAGCAGTCCAAAGTTAAGACCCCTTAATATTAATTTTACTTTTTGCATATTTTGTTGTATCTAAAGAACTTTTTATGCAAATTGAATTATATTTGCTCACAATAATAATATTTGTTTACCTAAAGATGATTCTCTGCAAAAAATAATTTTTAGTAAAAATTTATTATTTAATTATGGTCAAAGAAATGTTGAGTTGTAAGGTATACAAATTTTTGCTTCATTTTAAAGTATATAATTTTGCAAGGCAAAAGTCATAATTTGAAAAATTCGGTTGCATAGTTCCTGAGAAATCAAATTTTAAAAATCTGAATTTTTTGAAATTCAATTTCTCAGGAACTATTCGACTGATTTCACTAAAATTTTGAATTTTGCTATTTAAAATTGCAAACTTTAAAATGATCTAAAAATTATATACCTTACCATTAAAATTTTTTTTGACCATTATTAAATAAAATACTAAATGTTAAAAGTTATTTTTTGCATGGAATTATCTTAATATAAAAAAAATTTCAATTCGCTTAAAAAGTTCTCTAGACATAGCAAAATACGCAAAAAATAAAATTAACATTAAGGGGTCCAAATTTCGGACTGCTCCCTTGACTAAACTATGGGGACTATATTTTTATGCGGCTACCCCCTTTATTATGTTGGTCAGAAATCTGAAACCTTCGATAAAAGGTATGTTTATTCAGAGAAAGTACATTTTTGTGTCTGATTTCGTAACTTAAAATATCGTCTACATTTACTAAATAGCAAATTTGAGGTCACCCCCTCAAGCCATTAACATTGAGTAGCAGAACATGAAAATCCGATTATTCATGGTGGTCGGTTTTTTTTTTTTTTTTTTTTTGTGCACTGTTTATATCTTTCTATGTTAAAATGTCTTAAGAATAACTGTTTTAGTTGTTCTATTTTCGATTTTGCTTTGCTACATACAAACTATAAAACTTAGAAAATTAAATTTTTAAAGGGTGTAGAAAATGTATAGAGAATATGATTGAATATGAAATGCTAACATTCAATAATTAGCTTTTAAATGCACAAACTGTTAAACTTGTAGTAAAATTATACCTGAAGGGCTGTTCTACATTTCTTTTAGAAATATGATACTAAAGACTTGTAATTTAACTTGCTAAAAAATCCATTTTTATTTATAAATTTGGGATTAATTTTTTTCTTCTGAATTCTAATTTCTTCAAAAGTTATGAAAATTTTTTGTGCAATTATAGAGATTTTTCTCCCATTTTTTTTCGGTTTACAAAACTCAACATCCAATAATTAGTTTGAGAATTAATAACAAACTTGTAGTAGGAAATACTATTTCATTGTGATTAACAATGTTCTCACTAAAATTATAATAATTATGTTTTACAAATAAAATTTTTATGCCTAAAAATATGATGATTATGTTCTACAAGCAAAATGTTCTTTGTTTTTGTAACAAATATCGACTTTTAAGAAGAAAATTTTTTTTTAAAGAAAAGCATTCATGGTTGTGTTGGTGAGGAAGAGAGTTGGGTTGCAGCCTAATTTGAAAAAAAAAAAAGATCTCTCTATTTTATAGTATTAAATATACATAATAAAAGAAAATTAATAGAAAAAATTATTTTACATGAAAAAAAAATGGTGTACAACTTCACTATTTATTACATTTTATTTTATGATAATGTTAATTTATGATATTTTATGTTTATTTTAGGTTAAAGATTGATTTTTTTCTCCTATATGTTAGCTTAGCTTATACTTCAAATTTTCCTTTTGTTTGAAAATGTTAACAAATGTATTGTTTAAAAATATGTTCTGAAAATTTAGTTTGAAATTGTTTGTTTAGTTTTCTATCTTTTAGTATTTGAAAAAAATGTAATTATAAAAATTTTAGCATTAAAGTCTTTAAAGATTTGAAAAATTTTGCCAGACACACTATGTATTTAAAAACATGCAAGAAATGTAAAACTAATTGCTTTGTTTGTTATAGTGATATGTAACTTATGCTACATATGAGTATGTTATGACTATAATCAAACATTTAAACTTTATATTCTGTAAACACCTAAAATTCTTGTTCTATTTTAGATAAATTGAGTGTGGATGCAAAGAAAAGATTGTTACAAAATGAAAAAGCTAACTGGGATCTTGTATTTTCAAAGGTTTGTTAATAATCGTAAATTAAATTGTTCTGCCATCTTTTATAAAATATACACTAATGCTATACCACTAAAAATCTTACTCATATTTAAGGGAATGTACAATTTTTTTCAGAAGAGGATTGCAAAAAAAAAAAAAAAAGGAAACTTTTATCATTCCAATGTTTGCAATAAACGCTGTTTTCTTTAAAAAAATAAATAAATTTAAGAAAATGGCCTTAAGGCATTTTTCATTGTTGTGTGTGTATTCTTAGCAGATAAAAATACATGATAGATTCCTTAATTAACAAAAGAAATCTAAAAATCTTTAACTGTCATAAAGACGAAATTAATAAAAGTTATAATTGTATTTACCTTTAAATAGAAGGCAAAACCTAGTCAATAACTTTTTCATTCTTTATTGTAAAAGAGAGGAAAAAAATCAGTTGACCTTGAAAATCAAAGAGTAGTCATCTGCTCAATAATTTAGATTTAAAGAAAAAGAAGTTAAAGTTTCACACACTTTGCTTTCTTAACTTCTGGATTTAAACTATTACTGTTAAAATCAATATTTTTTTATTTTATGTGAATTGCTAACATCTTTATTTTTTTAAATAAAACTTTTGTATTTTTAATAAACATTTTGTGTTAATCAATTTTTTGGTGGAAAAAAATGGAGAAGTCAGAGCTTTTAAATCTTTTAGCACCTTAAATTAGTATATCTTTGTTTTAAAATTTTAATTTTGTAATTTTTTTAATGATTTTTTTTTTTTTTAAATTTGTTGGAATAAGATGTCTTAGTAGAAGTTGAAATAATAAAAAAATATTCTGTAATTTTTCTAACTATTTCAAGGTTTCAGAACCTATGCAATTTTAATAATTTGTTTAGATCCTTTTCTTCACATTTGGCAATCTCTACCAGCACGCAGGTTAGAATACATTGGATAATTTCTTATAAAAAAACTTATTGGAAGTTCTTTAAATGTAAAAATTATTTTAATCTATTTTAAATTGTTATTTTTAATCTAGTTGTTGATTTTTGAATTCATAAATAAGCTCACATTTTTGTGAGTTTGAAAATAGGTATATAGTAGTGTATTCTTGAGTTGCTGAATGATTTTAAGTAGAATCTTTTATTTTATCCTAAAAAGCATTTTTTGTTAAAGAAAACATGTAATACATTTTAAATTTCTTTCGCATAACTTAAAATAATAAGTTGTTCGAACTACTTTAAGTTTTATTATAAACATGCTTCAAATAATAGATAGATTAGTTTTATATATTGACATGTGCTTGTTTATTTAATTTTTCTTATTTTAACCACAATTTATTTAGCTTCATGAAATTGGACAGATTCCTATATTATCCTTTCCAGCAAATGTGTCAAACAGACTTCCCGATGAAAAGGTTATGATCATTATGGTTTCTTACATCAATATCCGTTTGATGGAGCTCAGTTCTGAAATAAGAGCTGCTCGTACTATTCAGTTAGCTTACAGAAGATGGAAGTTGGAAAAAAGGCTTCAAAAATTAAAGGTATAATTATTTCTATTTTTTTATTTGATTGCAATATATATGTATTTTTTAAAAAAATTAAATATTAACACAGTCCTCCTTGAATATAATGTATAAAAAATATAGTGCAGTCAAACAACGTTAACCTTTAAATTGGTGGGGCTATCATAATTATTTTATGTTTAACAGATTTCATCTTATACAATAGATATTGTGTACTACATTAATGTATGTAAAAAATACTAACAATTTATGCATTTATTTCAAACTGAAATAATCTGTAATTGACATCTGTTTCTTTTGATTTTCACATGTATTCTGGAAATGTGGCTGTAGAAAACTGATCTAAACTCATTCTGTGAAAATGTTTACATCTTATACACATCCTGCCTGCTATTTGTTATCCAGCCAAACAGAGACATCCATTAAATATCTCTAAATTTTACTTATAAACTTTACTTACTAAATTTTACTAAATTTTAATTATTAAATTTTTCTTACTGATTTTAAATCTGAAAAGAAGTCTTGATGAGAAAAGGAGTAAAATATTGCTTTATTTATAATTAATATTGCTGTGTGTAAAAAAAGAAAAAAAATACTTGCACAATAAAGTTTCAGTTATGGGAATTTTGTTTCTTAAAAGATGTGATATTTTATATATTTTCTATCATAAATTAAGTTTCACTGCTTTTTAAAATATATATTTCTGATAAATATATAGCCATGTATTGCAATGATGTAATCTAGAATTTTAAAGACATTTTCCTTGAATTTTATTTCTAAAATTTAATAGGAAACCTAAAACATATGTCTTTTAACTGTGGCAGTCTTTTAAGAAAAATATTTTATTAAAACTAATCTTGATTTTACATTCCTAACTAGGTAGAGATAGCTGCTGCCAGAGTTATTCAGGAAGCTTGGAGAAAACACTTAGCCTTTAAAAGGAAAATAATAGAAGATAAGGCAGCCATCATTATTCAGTGTGGATGGAGAGTGTATTCTTCCAAGAAAAAATTGCAACATCTTAAGGAATCTAAAATTCGAGAATTTTTAGATTCTAAAGCTACTGTCATTCAGGTAATTTTTATTCTCTCTTTTCATTTTAAGGTAAAGTAAAAATGAGAGGTGTATGCTTGTAAAGAAATGATCTGCTAATTTTAGCTGCTTTTCTTAAATTTGATTATTTTTGTACAGGCTGTCGTGTATATGTTCCAGCATGAAACCCTTTCATTTCCTGGCTGACTCAACCAACATTCTTGTTCACCCCAGTCAAATGTCAGTCACATATCTCCTAAGTTCATTTTTCAGTTTTGTATGAATAAGACCAAAATTAAAAACTGTTCTTTCTATTGATGTTGAGTTGCATAGTCTATTGTAACATGTAATTAGGAAATTTATTTTAAGAACTGCACTAAATATGAATAGTATATTAGTTAGTAAAAATTAGTGACTCATTTAAATATGTTATAATTTTTATAAATTATAATTAGTTAATTAATCAGTGAACTAATTATCATTAATAAAATTAACATTAGTTCACTAATATTGGAAATATTCATGTACATATGAGCAGGAGTGTAGAAAATATTCCCAATGAACAAAGTTTGGAAAATAAAGTTTATATCAGAAAAAAAATTCATTTGGTTTTACACAATTCTTGAATAAACGAGCATATGTGTTATTAAATAAAAAATATCAAAATACGTTGAAATAGTAATAATTTATTTAATTAAATTTAAGGTCTCACTTATCAGGGGTCTGTCCAGGCCAAATTTACTACTGTTCAGTGGTACCTTCACAAATTCAACTTTAGGAAAAACGATAGTTTCACAAAATACTTTTTCTTAAAATTTTATTTTTTGTAACAAAAAATTTTGTAGGAATTTTTTTTGACCAAAAATTTCCCATGACTGCCTGTATTTCCTCCAAATCCTTGTTCTTGCAGTCAGACATATTCAGCTCATCTGAATATAAATAATAAAAAATATTGAGGATCGATTTTTAAAAAATTATACGTTGAGATCAGACAAGTATTGGCTTGGAGATTTTTAGCATCCCCCTACATTCAGGATTTTGAACTAAGTCACTTTCATCTTTCCAAGCACCCTTTGTTTTTTTCTTGCTTGCTGAAGTTTACTTCAATGGTGATAAGGTCGAATCTGTTGTTACTCAATGGTTGCAATTACTGACTGTATCATTCATTGATAATGGTATCTATTTAATGCTTGGTGGAACCCAAGTCAAAAATAGTATGACTTTTATAGTTAATTATTCAGTGAAGTTTGATACCATGTAATTGTTTGCTGTTTTAATGTTGCTATATGGAATTACTTTTTACAATGTGTGAGTATATCTTGGAATATAACTTCATATATTCCAAGATCAGACTTTAAAGTTTGATCTCATATCCAAATTAATCTTCTGCCAACAGAAATCACATAAGGCGATTGTGGTTTATACAAATAATGATTGTAAAAGAAATTCATTTTATTGAAGTAAAAAAAAAATATTTAGGTAAAGGAGTATTTGTCTATACCTATAGAAATAGTTATAACTAATAATAAATGTTTAGAACAATTGTAATGAAAAATTATAATAAGTATAAAATTTTACTTTTCAGGCTCTCTACAGAGGTTATACCACAAGAAAACAACTTTCAAAATTGGTTAAAGCTGCTATAATTATACAGAAAAATATTCGCATGATGTTAATTCAAAACAGGTTTTCAAAATTAAAAAGAGCAAGTCTTAAAATTCAAACTGCATTCCGAGCAAAAGCAGCTGGTACCATTCAAAGGCAAAAATATTTGCACCTGCGAAACATGGTAGTAAAACTTCAAGCCTGTTCTAGGGGAATGATTTTGAGGAAGCACTTACGTAGACAAAAGGCAGCTGCTACAGTGATACAATCATATTTTAAAATGCACGCAGCTAGAAAGCGGTTCTTAAAGTTAAAGGAATCAATTATTGTTATTCAGAGGAAGTTTAGGTCTTTTCTTCTCACACGCCAGTGTTATCAAAATTTCAAGCATTTGCGGGATGCAACTATTTATATACAAAAGTGGTATCGTCTGATTCAAAAAGATAAACGTGAGAAAAAATCTGCTATCAAGATTCAAGCTGCCTTCAGAAAATATATCCATAGGAAAAAATATCTTTTGTTAAAATCAGCTACAATGAAAGTGCAGCAATGGTGGAGAGCAAGAATTCAGGGACAAAAGACTAGATTGTCATATTTATTATGTAGAAGACGAATTGTGTTACTTCAATCTTTAACTCGCCGTTATATTGCTCGAAAAGTATACCTAAAACATGTACAATGCATAGTTAAGATTCAAAAAAATTTTCGTAGGATGATTTTAACTAGAAAGTTCAAAGCAATGCAAAACAGTGCTTCCAAAATACAAGCTTGGTGGAGATTGAAACTTCTTGGCAGAAGTACTAGATCATCATATCTTGCAACTCGAAAGCATATAATACTCGTGCAGTCTCTGGTCAGACAATACATTGCAAAGAAATCCTACATGATAAAAAGAATGTCAGCTATAATTATTCAGAAAAATGTTCGTAGATTCTTGGCTAGAAAAGAGTTTTGTAAAAGGAAATTAAATGCCTCAAAAATACAAACTTGGTGGCGAGCAAAACTCCTGGGCCGAAGTACCAGATCATCATATCTTAATACTCGAAAGCATATTATAACCATACAGTCCTTAGTTAGACAATTTATTGCACAGAAATCCTATATGAGAAAAAAGATGTCAGCTGTCATAATTCAGAAACATGTTCGCAGATATTTAAAAAAGAGAGATTTTTGTAAAAAGAAAGAAAGTGCCTTAAAGATACAAACTTGGTGGAGAGCAAAACTTCTTGGCAAAGACACCAGATTATCCTATCTTATGACTCGGAAGCGTATAATACTTATACAGTCTTTAGTTAGACAATTCCTTGCACAAAAATCTTATAAATCAATAAAGATGTCAGCTGTCATAATTCAGAAACATGTTCGCAGATATTTGATAAGGAGAGATTTTTGTAAAAAGAAAGAAAGTGCCTTAAAAATACAAACTTTTTGGAGAGCAAAACTTCTTGGCAAAAACACAAGAGCATCCTATCTTATGATTCGGAAGCGTATTATACTTATACAATCTTTAGTTAGACGATATATTGCTCAGAAAACCTATGTATCAAAGAAGGTGTCAGCTATAATGATTCAGAAAAATGTTCGTAAGTTTTTGGTCAGGAAAAAGTTTTGTAAAATGCAAGTTAGTGCCATAAAAATACAAGCTTGGTGGAGATTAAAACTTCTTGGCAAAAATACTAGATCATCATATCTTGTGACTCGGAAGCGTGTAATACTTCTTCAGTCTTTAGTTAGACAATTTATTGCACAGAAATCCTATATGAGGAAAAAGACGTCAGCTGTCATGATTCAGAAACATGTTCGCAGATATTTAATAAGGACAGATTTTTGTAAAAAGAAAGAAAGTGCCTTAAAAATACAAACTTTTTGGAGAGCAAAACTTCTTGGCAAAAACACAAGAGCATCCTATCTTATGATTCGGAAGCGTATTATACTTATACAATCTTTAGTTAGACGATATATTGCTCGTAAAACCTATGTATCAAAGAAGGTGTCAGCTATAATGATTCAGAAAAATGTCCGTAAGTTTTTGGTAAGGAAAGAGTTCTGTAAAATGCAAGTTAGTGGCATAAAAATACAAACTTGGTGGAGAGCAACACTTCTTGGCAAAAATACTAGATCATCATATCTTGTGACTCAGAAGCGTGTAATACTTATACAGTCCTTAGTTAGACAATTTATTTCACAGAAATCCTATATGAGGAAAAAGATGTCAGCTGTTATGATTCAGAAACATGTTCGCAGATATTTAATAAGGAGAGATTTTTGTAAAAGAAAAGAAAGTGCCTTAAAAATACAAACTTGGTGGAGAGCAAAACTTCTTGGCAAAAATACTAGATCATCCTATCTTATGACTCGGAAGCGTGTAATACTTATACAGTCTTTAGTTAGACAATTCCTTGCACAAAAATCTTATAAATCAACAAAGATGTCAGCTGTCATAATTCAGAAATATGTTCGCAGATATTTAATAAGGAGAGATTTTTGTAAAAAGCAAGAAAGTGCCTCAAAAATACAAGCTTGGTGGAGATTAAAACTTCTTGGCAGAAATACTAGATCATCATATCTTGCAACTCGAAAGCATATAATACTTGTGCAGTCTTTAGTTAGAAAATTTATTGCACAGAAATCTTATATGACGAAAAAGATGTCAGCTGTCATAATTCAGAAAAATGTCCGTAGATTCTTGGCCAGGAAAGAGTTTTGTAAAATGAAAGTAGGTGCCTCTAAATTACAAATTTGGTGGAGAGCAATACTCCTTGGCAGAAATACCAGATCATCCTATCTTATGACTCGGAAGCGTATCATACTTATACAATCTTTAGTTAGACGATATATTGTTCAGAAAACCTATGTATCAAAGAAGATGTCAGCTATAATAATTCAGAAAAAAGTCCGTAGATTTTTGGTAAGGAAAAGGTTTTGTAAAATGCAAGTTAGTGCCATAAAAATACAAACTTGGTGGAGAGCAAAACTTCTTGGTAGAAATTCTAGATCATCATATCTAATAACTCGTAAACAGATTATACTTATTCAATCTTTAGTTAGGCAATTTTTAGCTCGGAAATCCTATGTATCAAAGAAGTTGTCAGCTATCATGATTCAGAAAAATTTTCGCAGATTCTTGTCCAGGAAATTTTTTATCAAAAGTGAAGTAAGTACCTTTAAAAATTCAAACTTGGTGGATAGCAAAACTTTGTGGTAAAAATACCTTGCTCATAATGGTATTGTATTTGCTATAGTGCTTAGCAGATTTTTGTGGCTTCTTATAATCACTACTCACACAACCTCCTAATTTCCAAGTATCATCTGAGCAATTCTTCCACTTCTTTTTCTTGTTATTTGAGTAAGGATTACAAGAAACCAAAGTGAATAATTTTCCCGGCCACTGTATGTTTGTGCTTTTAAGATTTCTTTTAATATAAGACTTATCTAGGGTTTTTTTTCGCCTTGCTTCTTGGGTAACATTTATTCTTTAGGCGCTCAAAATATCTCATTTATAAAAGCATTCATCATTCCCAAAGTTGCCAACTATTATTACTTATCCGTAATAGTTGACACCTCTCGGAATACCTTGATTCATAGTCAAGATTTCGGTCTAATGGTTGAGTAATAAAAATTAGTTTTGAGAATTTTCAATATAATTTCTCAGGGTACGTAGCGTTTGTAAAAAGTACTAGAAGGTGCTTTTTGGGAGATTTCGTTTTTAAAAGCTTTTAAAGGTGCTTTTTTCAGCTGGCGTTTTAAAAAAGTGCTTTTTTTCACGAATATTTTTTTTCTTCCTTCAGTGATATCTGGCGGATCCCCTGCATTTCACGAAAAATGGGGTGTTTTCTACGTAATCATTCACACGGACTTCATGTCGTACCCACGTTATGATTTGAGCATGCGCGCTCACTTGAAACTGAAACCCGAGTGCTCCAATTCGGATAGAGTCAGATCCTTATTAAATGTTTTTCTTCTTAATTTATAATTTTATTCTTGTTTATTTTATTTTACTTCTAACACTTTTTTGATGTAGGGGGTAAGGGTACTTTTGTTCAGAGTCAAGTTGAATTCACTCGGTGATGTGGGAAAGTACTGATTGTTTCGATTTATGTCCGTTTCTTTTTTTTTTTTTTTTTTTTTTTTTTTTTTTTTTTTTTTTTTTTAATGCTGAAACTGTTCATAAAAGTTTTTTGTTTTTCAATAATATCATTGATTCAATATTAATTTTTTGAGTGCTTGAAAATTTTTGTAAAGTGCTTGAAAAGTTTTTTAAAAGTGCTTATTTTTGATTCAAAGATTTGGCTACGTACCCTGTCTCTTAAAAATAGGCTTTTTTATTTCATTACTTTCTTGAGAGAAATGAAATTTTGTTTGTAAGGAACATTTGTAATGAAATTTTGCTTGCAAAGAACATTTGAAAAAAAAAATTACACTTAAGTGTCAAATTTTTTTCATGAGTCATTAAGTTACTTTTTTTAAATTTAATATTAAATTCCTGTATAATTTTATTAGTATTAGGCACATTCCTACTTAGAAATTAAGTAGTAATTGATAGCCTAATGCGTTCAATAAAATGATTGGATTTTAACGGCACTTCATTGACATCTTAAGTACTTTGTCACGTAGTTCTATTTTTAAGGATACAGAGCTGCAAAGAAGTTTTTCTCCTCTCACATTTCTCTATTACAAATTCATAACATTTTTCTCTTGTGTGTTTTCTTAGCAATCCTTTTCTAAACAGTAACTTTAACAAATATAACTTTTTTCTAAAAGACAATTATGAAGCTTTCACCAGAAAGTCTAGCTTTCCACCAAGATTTTTTTTTTTTTTTAAGTACTTTTCTTTTACAATCATTAATGAAATTATTCATAATTTTAGAATGGATTAACACTTTATGAACAACAACAATGGTTTACTAATCTTCGAAGAAACGTTGTAGGTTTTCAACGTGCTGCTCGCCTTTACCTTGCCAAAAGGGAAAAGGCAGCCGCTGTTATTCAGTCATTCTTCAGGAGATGCTACCAGAAGAAAGAAAAAGCTGCTCTTAAAATTCAGGTTATTGTGTATAAATTTTTGTTATTGTCTATATTTATGTAAGAAAAGTAATCTTCACATCTAGTTAACTTAATGTAAAAGCTATGTGTAATGTTCAGTTGTGTAACTTTTTCACAGATCTGTAGAAATCTGTATTTTTTGCCCAATTTCTATCCTTTCTAAAATTGATGCAAATTTATATTAAAATGGGTCAGGAGCAATGCACTCTGCAGAGAATCAAAATTGTGATTGCATGTATTTGGATCAACCCAGAATCCAATTTGGATCATCCAAAAAATACTACTGAAATCACAGTATTAAAAGTTTGTAATAAACAACTAGACAAGTTTGATTGTGTGAGAAAACCAGTGTTAAAAGTTGACTATTAGAAATGTTTTCAAATTTCAACCTCCAGTTATGATGATTGTCTTAGTTTTGTTGTTCATTATATCTGCAGGGGTGATTGTGCTCCGGAAAAAATCCGGATTTCCGGAATTTTCACTAGCAGTGATCTGGAAGTTTCCGGAGATCGAAGGTCCAGACGTTTCAAAATATCATTTATCACAGAAGTTTCCGGAAATCAAATTTTCAAAGGTAGAACTTAAAAACACAGTTTATTTTATTTGTTTGTAAGGGAGAGCCAGAGAGATACTTTATAAGCTTATATTCATGATTAATATTAATTTTTTATCAGTAAATAGTTGTTATAGTCATAAACTCAAGAAAGAAAGACATATTTGTAAATTTTAATTACCTCTCCAGGTCATCATAGCTATGTGTAAATGGTGTAGGTATGTGTGAAATTTTAAACATACTTTAAGTAAACTAGGAAATATAGGAAAAAAAACCTTGTTTAAATTTTTTTTCAATTTAAACTGTTTTTTGTTTTTTTTTAATTCAAGAAATTTTCCGGAATTTTGACTTGGGTTCACAATCACCCCTGTATCTGCCTTTCTCTACTGTTGTCACATTGAACAGCAGTTTTCTTAATTCTTCGCTTAGATATTAATTTTTGACCACCTTATGTATAATTTTTGTTGCATTTTTAATAAGGATTTTTAAAATATTCTGGGTGATCTTTGTAGAACACCCTGATATTTCTTGTTCAGACCGAGCTTAAAAGTAAGGTATTTACAGGAAAGAATATAGTGATGTAAAAATATTAGAAGGTTTTTTTCCCTTGCTTTCAGAAAAAACTATTCTTGCATTTTAATTTTTTTTTTTTATTTAAAAATTTCTTAAACTTAATTTTACTTATTTTCAGAGTAATATAATCTTGTAGTCTAAATGTTCTACGACTGTTTTGGTAAAAATATTTGTATTATAAGCAGGGCTGATTGTGCTCCGGATTTCCGAAATTTTCGCTAACAGTGATCCGGAAGTTTCCGGAGATCGAAGGTCCAGACGTTTCAAAAAATCATTAATCATAGAAGTTTCCGGAAATCAAATTTTTAAAGGTAGAATTTAAAAACCCCTGTGTAGGCTATTTGATTTGTGAAATTTTTTGAACTTTTCAGTTTATTTTCACATCATTATTTCGATTGTTTAAAACTGAAAATGAAACCAGGAAATTTTGATCCCATAATATGGAATTTATATGTATGTTTAAGCAATTAGTTTCCAACTTTTCTAGATTAGTGGGGGGGGGATATAAAATGTTTTTTACACTTTAGACTAATGAAAGTGTCATTTCTCTTGAAAACACAGGACTCGTGACACATATTGACGCAGTGGACTGTTATTTTATTTATATCACACCATGATTTCACACAAGTGCCTTTTCCCAGGTTATTAATGCCCTAACTTGTTCTCATTACTTACACAAAAGACACTGTGTAAAATATTACTTTACCAATGTCATTTCTATAATGAACTAATTTGGTTAAGTGTGAAAGAATTTGACTTACCTTAAGACGGTTCTTTGGAATTATATTTTTATTAATAACATAGACGGCACAAAACACAAAAAAAAGAGAAGCAGATGTAGAAAACTAGAATTCAGGCGTCTGGTGGCGTGCAACATTCTTCAGCGCCACCAGCGGAATATTTCTTATTTATCATTAAATTACAACATGCTGCTCTCTCACAAAACTGAACAGAAAGTATTTGTATACTATTACATTTATTCAAAGTGCTTTCATGCAAAATTTATATCATTCTATTTGTGACTAAATCTTTAAAATCAGGATTTTATTTTTTAAAAAAAATTTCATTTTTAGGCACATTGGCGAGGATATTCTACACGACGTAATATCTCTAACAAGTTGCTGTTAAATATTCAGAAGAAAATTAAAAATGCTAATTCAGATGAATATCACAGCCTTATTAGCCGTACAAATAGAGCAGTTGACATTCTGTTAAATAGTCTGAATATAACTAAGATTCTTACAGCTCTCAAAACTTTGGGTAAGATTATGTTTAATTTATGTTACTAGTTAAAATCCAATATTTTAAATTCCAATTATAAAATTTTTTATGTGGAATTTGATTTCAGAACTAAATCTATTCTTTTTCAGCAATTTAGCAAAATATATGAAGTCATACTCCTTCATTACGAGCTTTAATCTTAAGGGATCCCAGACTTAGCAAGAAATCTTTTAATAAATGGTTGCTTTAATGTTGAAAACCTTATATGAAACCTTTTACTGGACTGCCATTGACAACTAAAATGACTATATTGAAGAAAAGTCTACTATAGTGACTATTTACCAAAATGTAGGAGAAAATGATTATTTTACAATAGTTGCGAAACATTGGAACCCTTTTTTTTTTTTTTTTTTACCTATTAGCTACTAAAAAAATAATTCATGATTTTTTTCTCTCGTTACAGTATGGATAGAAATTTATTATTTTCCGCTGTATTCATCAGGAAGTGTGGGGGGACCAATGAACTGTTTGCCACAGAAGTGACCTTCAGACAAAGACTATCACAGGAGACTTTTAATAATTGTCGGAGTTTGACTTCTATTCTTCTTCTAGTATTTGTGTTCTAGTGTATTAATGTAAAAATTCTATAATCTAATTTAACATAATGACAAAAAATAGTTTTATTTGTTTAGGATTATTTTCCGTTTGTAAATAGGATGTTTGTTCTCCCTGAATACTTCTCAATATCCCCTTCCCTTCTAGTGAACTTGAAATACATCATTAATCGATCTTTATCCATTCCTAATATGACAGTTAATATTCATGTGCAACTTATTTTATTATAATCTTCAATAAAAAATTCTGGAGAAAAGAAGCCACATTCTTTGCATATTCAGGGATGTCTTTTTCTGCTTTTTTCTTTTCAGTTTTATTTATTAAAGAAAAATTTTGTTTTGTTTTTTAAAAAAAAATTTAACACTTTTTCCTACCTAATGTAAACATAATTTGAAATTGCTTTTTAAAATCACACATCGTAATTCATGTGATTTATAAATCTCAGACCAAGATTCACATTCACACAATTCTAAAAGAAACTGTGCACAATATTTTTTTTGCTATGAATAAAACTCTATGGATATGCTTCATAATTTATTTTCTGCTCATATTTCGGGTATTTTTATTTTTTTAATTTAAAATTTGTTTTGCACAATTTTTTATTATTTTTTTTTTTTTTAATTTATATTTTTAGCTTTGTTTGGTTCTAAACTCATCCCTGCATTTTTAATTAATAAGTAATAAAAATTTATATTAAGTATTCAAATCGCAAAGCAAATTAAGTTTCAAACTGATGGGACCAATATTTACGGAGTTATACTAGAATAGTTTCAAATTATGCCTCAAGTTCAGGGTTTTCTCACCAAGTCTGCATAAATAGGATTGTGCCTCACAAGTAGAGTACTCTGCTTGTGACTGTAGTAGTGTTCTGACTTGAGTTAGATCATTGAGTCTTCTGAAGTCGCAGAGCCTGTGTTTTTCCTATTCTGCTGTTATCTGAGCTTTGATAGCTTGAAAGTGCTTTAAATACTGGGAATAACTGTATTTTCTAGAAATTTCTGCAAATAAATTTTTGAATTCTTAGTAACTGTTTCCTTAGTCACCAGTCAAAACAAACCTCTGTGCTTAGAACATTTTTGGTGGCAGAATCGAGAATGGAGTGAATGTCAACTACAAGAGTAATGGCTGCGGTTAAACTGGTAAAGATGTTTCGGAAGATGAAGACTAAGTTGGATGCCAACCAGGAAGAATTTAAGAAAGAAATGTTCTGTGTAGAGGAAGTTCTGAAGAAATTAAAGGCTGTGAAAAATAGAATGAATTGAGTAGAAGAGAGATGGTGGAAGATTTCAACAAGAAATTAGATTTTAAGATTAAATACCTAGAGCATAGATTAAAATCTATGCCAGTTACATCATAGAATAAATTCCTGCTTCCAACTTAGCTGCTATTACACTTTCGTCAGAAAATTATCTTGACAGGTGTACAAAGCTCAATTTTTGATGATCGCTGAAACTAACAGATGGGACTCAACAAGCAAATCCTTTCATCTTGGGAAAGCTTACTGAAAAGCAACTCCTTTCAAATTCGTTGGAGCTTTATCAAAAAATGCTCTAAAGAACGTAGCCACCTGCAACTGAAGTCAAGCTGGTGAAAGCTTTAAAGAACTGGCTGTCGATTTTCTATGATTATCACATCTCGCTTTTTCAGGTTGCCTTTCTGAGATACACTAAGATTCGGCCGTCCAACACTTTGTAGACAGTGTGCAAGATCCAGAGACTCAAAAAGTCTGGGGCTGTCAGCTGCTATGGTAACGAGCAAGAGCGCGTTTCTGATTGGGTGCAATGGAGGAATGAGGGTGTCGGTTGGTTTACTCACACTGACCTATGCCAAGATCGAGACAAAATTATTCACCCCACACCCCTATTCAAAATTACTTTTACTCGTAACCATGGTACCTGCCACAACGCGAAACTGGTGCCTGGAGGAAAAAGCCGCACTATAGGAGCTGCTCTCGTCAAAACACACAAGATTGAAGTTGCTCGAAAAGCATAATGGAAAGACCACCACTTTTCTTTATTGAGTGGTGGCAATAGTGGACTTTTCGTTATGGTGCCTGTCAATTTAGTACCATGTCATGATACTAGAGCCAACATCAACATCAGACTGCATTAGACTACAACTCAGAAAACTAGGTGCCTAGTTGCCCAAAAATTTAATCTAATCTACACTTTCTCTGGTGCACCTATTACAAAATATCAAATTGAAACTTTATTTATTTACCAAATTTATTTATTTTTTTTTATTTACCAAATTTTAGCTTTTTAACTTCATGAAAAATGGAAGAATTAGTTATCAGTATGTGAAGGAGGGCTTTGCCTTTTATGTATATGGATTTAAATTAGTGGTCTTTCTGAATAGTCAAATTTTTTTTTACTTGCTACTAAATTTTAGCTAGTAACTATTTAAAAAAATCAAAATTTATTTTATGCCTGTTTAGACTAATGCTGAATATAATGCATTTTTGAATTTTTATTTTCTCTTTGCAGATACATGCACAAAGTTATCATCGATTTGTTGTATCCGTTTAGAACAATCTGGAGGTCTCTCAAGACTTATTTCTCTTTTAATATCATCCAATCGCAGTGTTCCCCATAAAGAAATAGTTACCTTTTGTTTTAGTATTCTGTTGAATCTTGCCAAGGTAAAATTGTAAAATATTTTATTATATCCTTGTTAATTTACATTTAACATAATAGTTATATGAATTTATGCGAAATCCTATATTTGAAAATAGGATAACTTCGTGTTTTATTTATAATTTTTACACTATCACATATAGTTTTTTTTCCTGCTGCTGTGTTAATTTTCGTTGAAAAATATCTTACAGAAAGTGTGCATTGCATGCCTAAAGGATAAATGATTAACACATTTACAATATATTTACAAATAGCTTGTATTATCTTAAATGCTCTCAAATTAGAGGTGTATTTGCTATCCAAGTGATAAGAAATATCACCGATAAATTGTTTCAGGTTGGCATAACACAAAAATATCTTAAGAATTTTGAGGGACAATGTCACCAATTACCCTCTGATATGAGTCGCTATTTTTCCCAATCTGAACTTCATGCTTCAGACCTTTTTGTATCAAAAAGCCAACTTTGTCAATTAGACCAAAAGTATGTGCCTCAAACTAATTCCCAGAAAGCTTGAAACAGTTTTATTTTTCTTTGGTCATTTCAGAAAAGAATAATGATTTCGCTGTGAATTCTAAAGTGAGTTTAACTTTTGACAGCCAAAAAAAAAGAGCATTTAATTTTATGTGCTTTTTTCAGTTTTTGCTGATGCATCATACTTAAATTTTTGTTTGCACTATAATTAAAGAGCATCAAATTCTTAATCTGATTACACAGTTTGTTCAAAGATTAACAGCTTTTCTGAAATTACCCCTACATTCACTTTCAAATGTTTGTACTCCTAAAGTACCTCTCTGAATGAAAAATATGAGTAACAAAAAGCCATCTGAAGAGTAACAAATAATTATAACTAAGTTCTATCAATAGTGGCAATATATAAATTTCAGGTTTGTGCATGATTTCGTTATGTATCGATTTATTGACTATTTTCTTTTTTTTTCTCACAATTATGCAGAACATGTACTCAGCTAGTATGGTATACAATTTTAATTTTGTGCTCAAGAATTAATTTTAAAAGCACTGTGCTGCTCTGAATAAAGACTATTTGTTCCAATCTACTCCAAAAATCAAGTTATATGAGCTCCAAAACACATTTTTTTTTTTCTAATTGTTTTACGTGCTACTGTTTTCCTGTGTATGGAAATTTCATTTAGTTTTTTACGTACTTTCTGCCATTCAACATTTTTGTGGCTTTAGAAATAAGGTGTAATCTGTTAAAACTACTCTTAACTTCTTAAAATGTTATATAATTTAATATTCTAAATATAGATAATTCGAGAATCTAAGATTTATTATACAAAGGATATAATAATCGATAGGATTTACACCAGCAATGAAAATTTAGTAATACAATAGGACAACCTAGGTATTCATTAGTGATCCCAAAACTTAATATTGTTGACAAGCTTGAGAAAAAATCAAACTTCTCAATTAGATAACACATTTTATGGTACACATCAAAAATTATTTATTACAATCTGTAACACCCAAAAACTAATTAGGTTCATTATCCATAATGATTAAGTGAAAGAAGGTAAAATAATATTCTTAAATAGATTCAACATAGAGATTAAAATGCTGAGACCAGATAAATAAATAAATGAAGAAAATAAGAACTAACAAAATATGTTGAAAATTAATTATCTAAAAATTATAAAATTTTAAATAAAGTCAGTTCTAAAAGAGCAAAAAATATTATTTCATTGATGAACAATTATATTCTTAGTACATGAATGCAAAGCCCAGCACAACATGTAATGTTGAAATTTCAACATGTAAATTTAAATTTTTTTGTACCAGACACTTTCAGTTATTCCATTTGAATACTGTGCATTTGATTTCCATGCCACTCATAGAACAATAAAATTAGTAAAACAAATTTTATTTTAAATGCAGATAATGGATTTGATTACTATTTTGTTCTTTCCAAACAATCAAGTTTCAGGGCGACAAATTTGTTACCCATGCGTGTGATTTTAGCGACATTTGTAGAACATTTGGCAACAATCGTCACCCTACTGGTCTTAACTCTACTAATTAATGACAATAAAAATTGGTCTAATATTTGCTTTATTTCCTTCTGGTTAACTCTTATTTCATTTTTTTAAAAAGATTGTATTTTTTTCTTAGTTTACAAATTGATTTGTCTTTAATAAACAAGGTTTTTAAGTGTTAAACTACGAAATTCAAAGAATTAAATGAACTACGTATATTCATTATAGCGTGATGAAGCACATCTAGACACTGGTAAAATGGATGTCTGAATAATAGAAGATTTAGTAAAAGAATAATCTTTCGTGTGAGTGATAATCGCAATAAAAAATTTCTTATATTGAAGTACAAAAGTAAAAGTTTTTAAGATAGTAAAATAAAGAAAAAGTGTGTGAAAATTTTATGCACTATATGACTGTAGAAAAACGTTAATTAAGGAGATCTTTCATGATATGCATCAGTATTTTATTGATTGAATGCAAGAAAACCAATGTTTTAATTACAGAAAAAAAAATGGGAGAGAATTTCTCACCCTTTCTCAAAAACAGGGTGAGATTTTAAGAAGTTATGTTTCTAAAAATTAAAAAAACACGAATAGACTTGGAAAAAAATTATTTCTTTAATTATAATACATTTTTAACATCTTCTAATTGAATATTTTTGCTGCATCATCATACGGAAAATGTTCTATATCTACTTTTTCATCAGCTATTATATTTATTTGGCTGAAAAAAATCCGTATTTGTTTCGTTTTGGCCGTTTCTACCGACATTTGTTTCATTTTCATTTGTCTGCTACGGAGTAGAAGATGTCACCTTAACAAGGTATTTGTCCATCTTACATTCATGCACAAAAAAGGTAAACGTCTTACATGAAGAAACCTTACCTACGGTGAACACGTGGTGCAGAGAAATGTGTTCTGAAAGGGTTTCGGGGAGGGGGGGGGGGGTTCGCACCGGTTCTGAACAATACTGGTAAATAGGGAAGCTAGATAACAAGGACCGAAGTTCAAAAAAATGAAAGACCAAGGAAGAAAAGTGAAACGGATTTTATTCAAAATGGCAAGAGATGAAATTTTTTCAAAAATTCACACATTTTGAAATGGATTAATAGAGTTCGCGAACTTCTCGCGTTTATCATTTTTTATTGCGAGAAAGGAAAAAACATGCGAGATTCTCGCTCTGTAGTGAAAAACATAAATCAGGTATTGAAAATTTTGATGAAATTGCTTTAAAAGTTAACTGATTGGCATGCAAAAAAAAAAATTCCAGTTTCTGGACTAATTTTACAGGTAATTGCTCTGCAAATTGCTAAAAAAATGGGAATTTTAAAGTTTCAAATGGATGGCTGAGAAAATATAGATTAAGTTATACCATCGTCTATCGTAAACTAAATGGAAAAGCGGCAGATCCGATGAAGAACTGTATCATAAAACAATCGACAAGTAGTCTGGGGGGGGAAAAATCTTTTAAAAAGAAAAAGAGCATCTAGAAATAGTAGATATATTTTTTTTAATACTAATTTTTGTAAGGTTATAAATTATAGGTGAATTAATTGTTCATTTAAGTCATCTTATTTGCAATTATGAATTTTTATAAAACTTTTTTTTGTCTTGTTTTTATATTTTCATGAACTACCAATTCAATTATAATTCCAAATGGCGTCCACCTCTTAGCACCGATCACATACGCACAGTCCCGCAATTGATCGTGGTTCTGAGGTTTTGCTGTACCTGTATGTCTTTGTCTATATGTTATGGATAAAGCAAAAATGAAAGATAAACATTGATTTTATCAGCTTAAATGGAGATTGTGAATTCTTGTTGGTAAAGTCTGAAAATATATTATGAAGCAATTATGTTCTTTGTTGTATAAAGCTTAGTAAATTCCACACTCCTAATTTAGCTTCCTTTTTTTTTCTTTTGATAGTATGATAAAACTGTAAATTCAGTGTGGGAGGAAGAAGCTATGCTAGAGACAACTGTCTCTTTAATGAAGATTTGGGCAAAAGATTCTAATATTTTCAATAAATGTTGCTGTCTCCTATATATTTTTTGTCAAGATCAAAACAGAGCTCAGGTAAGTTTGTTATTGATTTACTTCTTTTTAAATGCATATTACTGTTAAGGTATAACCCTTCAAAGGGTTTGTTTTCTTTTGATATTTCATACTTTTTTTGTACCATTCTTGGTTTGTAACACCATTTGATCAGTTGGCTTATTGAAGGAATGGTCAATTTGCATGTAGGGGGTGAGCAAGGTCCGCAAGGACAGATGTGTACACGTGTTGATCCATCTTTGCTTCCATAATGATGAATGAACCCAAAAACATAGCTCAAACCATAATTTTCCTTCCTTCAGCTTGTACCCATCTTGCACTTGTTGCAGGGTGTTTGCTTTCGGAGGATTCATGTTATGTACACCAACGTCCATCTGCCGGATGGAGCATAATTTGTGATTCAACAAGCATGCAAATTCCAGAGTTCACAGCAGCAACCAGCATTTCATTAAGAAATTGTCTACTGAGGAGGCTCATGCGACGTTCACTGGACCGTCATTAAAGAGACATCGTTGGTTTATTTGTCTGGACAGTTACTTTGCATCCATCTTTTACCTCTGTCACTCGTGGTGCACCACATTTGCCACATCTCTGATTTTGACTAGTACCATTTTGCCATACATGAGATACTTTTGCCAGATTCCCTTGGACACCCTCTATATACCCTCCACCACAATGTATTACCACCTACATTTTGCGGTTGGTTATCTCATGTCGAGGTTGAAAATATGTGGTGATTACATTAATACAGCTGGACTGAGTATAAATGATTTAAATTTAAAATACTGTTATTTAACTGTAGCATTTAAAATGTTTAATGAACAATTAAAGTAAAAACTTTCTTTTTATACATATACAGTCGGACCTCTATTTAACGAAGTCGCTAAATCCCAAAAAAAAGTTCGTTATATGGAAAATTCGTTAAATAGAAAATCATCTTTTGAAATACTTACACAACGTAGAATAGGTTTTAAATTCATGGATACTAGAAATAATTAAAATTGCAATTGATGCACCTTTATCTTGTAATTTTTTTCCTTAATAGTCAGGCACTTTCGCTTCGACATTTTGCAGCCGTAAGAAAAGCAACAAGCAGCACTCCGATCAGCAATCTTAAAACAGGAGCTCTACCGAGTGAACAACGAGAAAGTTGAAAGTTTTTCTAGAAAGGAAGTGAACAGTGGGGGTGGAGATAATAGGACATGTCAATAAGGGACCAGGGACCACACAGTTTGATGACCCATTCCTTTTATCTTCTCTGCTCATTTCCTATTCAAGGAATTTGACCCTTTCCCCACTTTTCTAGTGGGATTGCATTTCCTGTATGAAATGCAAACAAAAAGGGAAAGGAATTTTACTGCTTTCTCTAAAAGTTAAGGGGATGCGAAAATCAGTTCAAGGTCATTTCCCCCATAAAATGCGTTAACTAGTTAATAATTTTCTCAAATATTTTGGGAAATGGGGAAAGTAGATCTAAAAAAAAAATCGTTAAATAGAAAATTCACTTCGCTATTTAGAAGTTATTTAACGAAGAAATTTCCAAAATGTTCTTGGTTCCACGAAAAAATTCGCAAAATAGAGAAATTCGTAAAATGGAAGTTCGTTAAATAGAAGTCCGACTGTATATTCATAAAGAGATTGAAATCAGGATAAAATAACTCACAACGATCGCCAAGTGACAGAAATCCAACTGAAAATATCATACAAGAAACGTTAAATTTTGACAGTGAGGATAAAAAAAAAGTGCAAAAAGAAACAGGCTACATCACATTCTACATTGCGACTGATCCACTCACAAAACAGCTACTTCTGAATTAATTTACTTTAGACCATTCAACATTGTTTTTGTCAGGGCTTTGCTTGTTATCGTTGCATTATGAGCATCTTCTTACAGTTGCATCTTAATTCAGAGTTCCAATGCTTTGTATAAAATGAAAGCCATTAAATTGTTTTTAGCTATATATCTAATGAATGGTAGTCATGTATCCAGTAGTAATTTAAAATGAGAGACTATCTCGGGGCCAGTATTTGTGTCTAATACACAATGTCAGCAAAAAGTACCTGCTTCAAAATTGTTTTGATTGTAGCAGGTCATTGATATTCATGTATATTTATCTAAGTAATTAATAGTGTATGTAAGTAATTAGTAATATAAGTAATTATCTCAGTAATATTTATCTAAGTAATTAATATTAATGATAGTTTTAAAGTCAAAAAAGCGATTGTTCTTCCAATAATGTTATATAAACTAATTAACTAGCTTATTCATTATTATTTTATTCCCTATATCTTTTTTTTTCCTTCAAAAATTGATTTAAAAAAGAAAAGCTGCTTATGCTCCAAAAAGAGAACATTAAAAAACACAGTGTGTTTTTAATAATTCTTAATTCGTGGTACATTATAATATCCCATTATGACATTGAGGTTTTAAAACCTATGTATAAATTTGTTGCAATAACTGACGATAACCCAGTTATTCAAAAAAAAATGGTTCATCCTGGAAATTATCAAAAAATTAATGAAAATTGACATAGCCCATGACAATGCAATATGTCTAGCACATGCCAGAAAATTGCACAAATTAAAAAAAAATAATGAAATTTTAAATAAAATTAATTTTTAAATATTCAGAAGATCATAATTTTTGTTTCCTACGTTGTTGATTTTTAAAGAGGTGTAACATCAAAATCATAAATTTCAAAAAAAAAAATTTTTTAAAATTTTGTGTTTTCATACATGTAATAAATTGTTCTGAGAGTTAAGAATAAAACTTCATTTAAATTTCATATAAAAAGTTTTTTCCTTTAAAATAGAGCAATTTTTTTTAATAGCATTTCCCAAGATGTAAAATATCTTGAAAATTTTTGACTCTTTGGGTTTTTTTTTCTTATCTTATTATGAATTCTGCACATTTAAAAAGGTCAATATTTGTTTTATTGTCTTAAGATACTTTTAAAAGCGTACCTATCAGTTTTCAAGCTATTTATATTATCCTTTTCTGACCTTTAAATTGTTAACATAATATTTAAGAATGAAAATATTAGTTTGAAAACACAGCCCTTTTATCCTTTAGGTTCTGAAAAGTATTTCTGAATTTACTTATCAAGTCGAAACTCTTTATAAGGATGTGGCAAGAAAACAAAAGTGTGTCTCACAAAACACTAAGATTCCTAGGAAAAGCACCATAAATTTCCATACACGTGAAAGTAAGCAAATAGATCCAGAATGGCTTTTGGGAAATCATAGGAAAAGAACATTTGAGGACCCTCTTACTGCAATCTCTTCCCTTATGCATTCTTTGGGTCTAAAACCTAATCAAGATAAGTGAATTGCTGATAGTGTGCTTTTAAAATCTTCTCTTAGAATTTTTATTTTTTTTACGCTGAATTTTATTGTGGTTGTATTTATAATATATAAAGAAAAAAATGTATTTTGAAAGTTTTAAACTGTACATATTTTCTTATAAAGTTATTGTATAAATCTTAATTAAACATTTAGTAAGCTGAACAAAAATTGTTTTTACAGCTAATGGCTATTTAATAGCGATTAGGGGAAAAAAATTTAATAGCCAAAGCTATTATATATTTAATAGAGAAAAAAAAAACTAAAATCTCTGGTTCAACTACAAAGACATGTTTATAATGTATTATTTAAACTTTTCTGCAGAAAGAAATGTTTATTTTTATAAAGTATTTTATTAGTATTGTATATAAATTAGTGACAAAAATGTATTTTTATATGTTCAGGTACTTGTATTTTTTTGAAAAGTTCACTTTTGTAATCATTTTTTAATCCTTGAAAATAAAAATTTTGCTTTTATAATGTAGCCTATTCCTCCTTCACTAGAATTTTCTCATATTGCATTTTATAAAGTTATGATGAAATTTTTCATAAAACATTTGAAGAAAAAAAAATTCCAGAATAACCTATTTCTACTAGAACACTGGAAGAAAGTTGGAAAAAACTAAAATTCTGGGCAAAATGGAAGACACTAAAAATAACCTATGATAACTATTATATGAATAATTCAGATTTTAATGTAATACAAAAAATAAAAAAGATGCCCGGTGGCTGAGTGGTAGCGGTTCGCGCTTCTGTGCAACAAGTCCTGGGTTCGATCCTCGGGCCGGGCAAAGCTGGCTCAGCCTTTCATCCCTTCAGTTGGTCGATAAATGAGTACCAAGCATGCTTGGGAACTAAACACTGAGGGTTCTGCGTTCGGTTGACCACCAAACCGGAACATCTGCTCTTGCACCCTAGAGCCCAAGGTCAAGAATACTGATATGGGCACAGTAGGCCTTGGCCCTCTATGGGCTGTCACGCCTCTGAGTTTAGTACAAAATAAAGAAAAAAAACTTTTTCTCCTTTAATTTTCCTAAAAGAATAACTTTTATACATTTTAGTTCTTTACTTTATGTTCTTTAGTTAAATGTACTAATATTATTTTTCCTTTATTGAATATTCTATTTTAAAATAAAATAAATACTAAGTAAATATTAAAAAGTTTTCAAATTGTTTCTTTATTTTTATTAAAAAATTTTCAAGTGATTACATTTTTGTAAGTGCGTGGTATTTTCTAGTAATTTTGTTCTTTATTTTTCACCTTAAATTTATTATATTAGTAAATCTTAAGGAAGATGCTGTAATTGAATATGCATTTTACATTGTTCATGAATTTTTTCTTTATTTTCAATTTAAATATTAAAAAAGATTAATAGTTGTTTCCCACTTTATCAAATCATTGATTTAAAAATAATAATAATTGATAAAAAAAAATTATTAACTTTAATAAAACATAAATACCTAACTTTTATTAGATATGTAAAAATAAAATCTGTTTTAAAAATATCTCTTAATATTAATAAATACCTTTAGCATACTTTCTAAGAATAGCTTTCAGTATTTATACTTACAGCATTTGGTTATAGAATTTGTGATATATTGTATAATACAGGGCATGCAATTTAAGTACTAAAATTACTGCTCTCCATTATTTCACAGGAAAAATATAAAAAAATTTTCAAAATGTTAGATTTAGTATAAAGAACTTTTTGGTGACTAAAACCCATAAAAGAATGTAGAAAATGAAACAAGTTTATTGCTAAATGAGCAAGCTTTTTTTGAATTTCAGTTCATTTAAAGTTTTAATGGTTCCAATGTTAACGTTAAATCAGTAAAATTTTAAAAATGTCAACAACAAAAAATTTATAGAAATCAAGCATCAAAATTGTTTTAACATTTTTTATTTGTCAACTTCTGCATTTCGATTTTCAAATACCTTATGTCAATTGCAGGCATGTCATCAGGGTAAAATTATAGAAATTCCGAAAAAATCATCAAGTGTCTCAATCTTAGAAGTTTCTGTAAGCTGTCTCAGCCAAGTTACCATAAACAAGAAATTTGATGCTTTAGTAGTCCAAATGTAATGACATATTTCGTATTTTCCACCACTTTGCAGCTTAGTAACCAGAACATAGTAACATCTGTCATATTTTTCACCCATCTGTGCAGTTTATGTTCGTTACGTCGGACTAGTAAATTGATCCGTTCTGAGGCCTTCTTTCTTCTAGTAGGTGTTGGCTGAAACCGCCTCACAGGAAATTATGATCATGTGTAGAAAAACTTTTTTTTTTAAAAAAAAAAATTTTGGAGCATATCTAACTAAACATTCTTCATTGTTGAACTTCTCCAGCATCTGAGTAAATGTTAGTGAAGCGAACATAAACTTGATTTTTGCCAACACAACATCCACCTGTTTGTTACAGAGACTTGGGCTTAAGTTCATGGAGTTTTAGGAAAAATGTGGTAGTTTGATTTGAAACAAGACATTTTATTTCTAGTTCTTACCTGCACCTTGCTTTGTTAGTAGAAAAAAAATTCATAGAATTTGATTAACATAAAAAAAGAGAAACAGAGCAACAATGATACAGTAGTACTTTTTTTACAATACATGGTGTTTTATTTTGAAAGAATTACAATGTACAACATTTGTGCACCAGAACATTGCTTACTGTAAACTTAATAAATTATATATTACCGAGATTTTCACAACAAAATTATAAACATTTTTTTAAAAAAAACTTAGGAAAAACAAATTTTATTTTAACAGTTTACAGAATATTAAAAACTTATAAAATTCAAACTTAAATTTCAATGCTTCATGCAGTTTCTAAAACATACACTTTTACAAAAACAATTGTACTTCAAATCTGGAATGGATGTAAAGAAAATATGGTATGAAAAAAAAAGCCTTTAAACTTGTGTTATAAATCAATTGTATTTGCTTAAAGAAAAATAAATACTTACACGCAAAATTGAGAGGGGCCAGTGTAAGTGTAAATGCACATTTTCACTATACAAATTCTTACATTCAAATCATACACTTTTACAGATATACCCCATAAATATCAAATGATTATAGTACAAATCTGCTGTACATTTCCAGCAGCAGTTTTTTAAAAATGTATAACAAACACAATAAAATACAAAATAACTGCTTTGGGGTGTAAGAGTATTTAATTAAAATTTCATTGGAGATAAGTATTTAAAAATTCCAGTTGAATACAATAGAGTCAATTGTGACTATTTTTTCCTTTCTTGAAACCATTTACTAAGTTTTAATTTCAGCTCTTCATCTGGAATCAACATATCCATAGTGAGAGGACTTCGATTGAATGGATCTGTTTGATCACTATAAAAAAAAAATTATTATGTTCTGTAAAATATAAGAGTTTTCACAAACAAAGGCTAAAATAAGCAATGCATTAGTTCAGCATCACTAGATAGTAGACATTTCTGGAACGGATCCAGAATTTACTCATTAAAGGCAGATTGTTTGTAAAAAAAATTATCCTGTTACCAGATTATAAAAGTATTGTGGATAAATGGACTAAAGTAAAGAAGTTGTTAAAGTAAAGAATATATTATCTCCTAAAGAATTTATTGCTATTAGAATTTATTCTAATGTCATCATCTAAACTGTTAGAATTGTATTTAGTTAGAAGTCATGTCTTTAATCAGAAATGATAAAAGCTTCCTAATATTTTTTTTTTTATCAGTGTCATTTTTTAAATTATGTGGATCCAGTACAAAATAGTAAAATATCTTAAAAGAAATGAATTTTTTTGTGAAAGTCTATTTTGTTCAACATTTTAAAAAAATGTTTGGCTACATGGTTCGGCTCGGACCCTAACTAACCAGAAGATACTCATGGTGCGTAGCGTTTTTTAAAGGTGCTTATTTTCATTTTTTAAAAGCACTTAAAGTGTACTTTTAAAAAGTGCTTAATTTTCCCTTTTCGAAAAGGAGATTTGTTTCATTACCACATCGATTTTCGGTACGTATTATGCAAAAGTGTGCTTTTCAAATTGCTCTATTTACCGTTTTTACAATTCATTCCACCGCAATCTATTTTGGCACCCCGACGATCCATGGCCTATGAAAGCGCAGGCTTGACACGTTGGTAACTACAATATTGCAGTTATAATATTAGATTCTAGAATCTGATACAATAATATTATGCATGGTTAAGATTATACTACTACATAAAAATAAAATTATTATTATGTAAGACATGAAATAAACAGAACCCATTAATTAGTTAAAACCCTATTTTCAAAATGAATTATTCAGGTTGACCACAAACACTCTGGGGGGGGGGGGATCATTATTTTTCCAAATTAATGTCTTGACTTGTCCAGACTAATGTTATGACTCAGAGATGCGAACTGCTCCGGACAGGCCAAAATAATTTAAAAAAACGGCAAATAACTACAAAGTAAATTTTGCAAATATTTGACTATTTTTGCTTGCTTTTTAAAAGATATAGCATGACATGTACTCTTCAGTGGTGAATTATATAAGCCTACGAATTATTTAGAAATGTGGTGGATAAAATTCTACTAAATTGAATTTATTAAACCAAGAATCACAATTGACAAACTACCACTTTAAAATATATATTTGCTGTCCGGAGCAAGTTGGCATCTCTGTATAACTTGGTGTCATAAATTTTATTATTAATATTTTAACTATGCCCTATTATTGGATATAGAAGATATTTTTTTCTTTAAAAAAAGTGTTGGACTTCAATGTATCTCAAATCAAATTCATTCACTTCTCTTCTATTTGAGTATTTTAATAAAATTTCCTGACCTTTCCATTTTCTCTCCCATTTTCCTGTTCTTTGGCCACCCTGTTACTGGAAATTTTTGGCATTATGTTTGCATGTCAACTTACTTTAAAAATATAACAAAACATCGAATTATTTTTAAAAAAGAAAAATTGAGAATCCTGGGACTTTCAAGCTACTTTTAGAATTAATAACAGTTTTGGATTGTTTTAAATGGCTTATTGATATTGGCAAAAGAAATAATGAGAACAAATTATTACCTTAACAGATGTCGAGCAATGGTTGCTCTATCAACAGTTACACCAGATGAGGGAAGCTTCACAGGATCTTTCATTAATGTGCTCATAATAGGGTCATAAAACTCATCTGGAGCTTCAGCTAATAATTCCTCATCTTGCTGCTGCTTCAGAGCAAGTTGCTAAAAAAAGAAAAGAAATTCAAACATTAATACTCAGTGATGAAGTTATCTAGCAACAATTTGTTAGCAATTTGAAAATATTTATTCAGCTTTTGGAACTACATGTTTTACTCTAGGTTTACCTGAAATCACTTATCTCTGAACTTTAATTTTAAAATATCAAAGAACAGCTTAAACAGAATTTGTTATTAAAAATTTATCTGGCAGTATAGTGTTCTCTTAAGTCCTTTTGAAAAGTGAAATTTAAAATTATATCATTCTATTAGTAAAAAAGCACATTAATGTGATTTAAATTTTAATTATATAATAGTTGCATCTCTACCCAAAATGGAATTTTAAATTCAAAATAACATAAATTACAAATTTAAAAGAAGAAAATTCTTTTTTTTTATTTGCCAAAATTTAACACATTAGTATAGTATTTCTGAACATCAATTGTAACAAAATGACATGGAATTATTGTTAATAATCATTTTCAGTCACTGGATTACATTATGCAGTATTAATTACTATACTGGATTGTAAATATGTAAAAAATAAATTATAATAACATGTGAGAACATAGTAACAACAGATGCCCAAATGTAAAAATAAAAAAGAAGAGTACTCACATGAACCTTATTGGCAACATGTTCTAATTGAGCACCAATACCGCCCTGCCCAATTTTATTGAGCACTACTTGAGCAAGAGGAAATAAATCTTGAGTGTATGATCTTCCATCCCTCGAAACTGCACAACAAAAGCGCTCAGCATATGCATCATCTGAAGCACCTAAATTTTGGTAAATACGACAAATATCACGAACAAGCTCCTGGGGCTTAAATTCATATTCTTTCAGATCCTTTACTTTGAAATTCTTTTTCTGAGGTCCAACCTATAAAAAAAATGCATTCCTCTACAATATATATTATATATCTTATTTCTAAAATAAATCCTCTATTTATTGATAATTTTTAATGGTGAAAATAAATTAGAAAGATTGCTCGAGTTAAAACTTACTACTGCAAGAAAACTGACAAAAAAAATAATAAATTTGTGTATTTTTTCTGATGGTAGCATAAAGCTGTAGTGCACACCAAATATAAAAAAATTTGAACTCTTTCCATGCATAAACAAAAGCGCACCCAACTACAAAAGATTTTTAACTGGTAATTGACAAAAATGTAAATTTAAAAAGCTTATACACAGTTTAGTTTTTTTTATTCCCATGCATTAATAAATTTATACATTATTAACTATTTGTGTATTATAAAGCAATTTCAAAATATGCAGCCTCCTGAGACCCAGCTTTAAATAATGGCAGAGAATTTAACTAAGACATTTCTAACCTAGAAAAACGTGGCTCAGAAGAAAGTAAACTCATGAATTCGATAAAATATTTATTATAAGAAAATTATTTTTAGTTGATTAGAATTATTACCTATATATGATAAATTTTATTTATTATTAATTATTATTTTTTTTTTTTTGGTGCAGTAAAGGAAAAAAAAAAACTATCGAAAGTTATTACATAAGAATAAAAGTTAACTAATATCTTTTTCATTTGTATGCTATTAAAATTTATTGTGCTGTTATATTTTGTTAATTTATTTATTTTTAATCAAGTTATATTAAAAATTGCTCGTATGTTGTTTTTTTTTCCACACCCCATATATTTTTTAACATTTATTAAGTATATTTCTTCTTATTCTAATCGTGTAACAAATTCCACTCAACTCAATAAAATATTTTTTATATAAATCTAAAATGTTACGGAAATTTATCCTTCTTATAACTTTCATTGAAATTAATAACTTTGACCAAGGAACGTCCAATTATATTTTCACACGGACAAAAAAAAGTAATTGAAAAATTTTTAACGATAAAATTATACCAAATGTTGAATTAGATACAACTTTTTTCAAGTAAAGGAGGACACCATAATTCCATATTATTTAATAAATATATTTTCAAAATAGAGAACAATAATATTTCTTTAAAAGAAAAACCAGTAATAAAAAATAATGCTTCAAATAAAAAGACATGCTATGATATATAAGCTCTAAAATCTGATTATGAGCCTTAATTCTAAACTATTCACATTTTTTCTTCAATAAGATACCATCTTTTATTTTAATAAAGTATGTCTTTTCTAACCAAGAAAACAAAATGACAGTGTATAACACTTGTTAGTGTAATGTTAACTATTAGTGTAATATTAGAATTACTAATACTATATAATGAACGAAAAAAATAAGACTTACTAAATGAAGTAAAAAGTAATTAAGCATAGCTGTAATTCGGTCAACGATAGTTGGATGGCAAAATATGGATTTAATTTCTTGGGAGAGCCACTGAAGTGTATTAATTGTTTCATTACTCATAACATTGTGGAACTTTGCAAGTAGACCCATATGTTGGAAATCCCCTTCTTCTCGCTGTTGTTGGTCTGAAGACATAGACTGCCAGGACCCACTATCTCTTGCTTGTTGGATTTCACGTAATTTGCTCATATACTAGGAAAAAAATAAAAATTATTTTTTTAATAAATAAAAATCGAAGATAGTTTCAATTAAAAAGAAAAAAATCATACTGTTAAAGCTTCATCCAGTAGAAAAATGGCATCATTTATCAAAAGATTTATAAAATGTAAAAATAATGGAGGATGGGGAGATTCCATATTTTTCTCAGCTGTGTCAGCCAGCTCCTAAAAAAGTAACAATGCAAGTTCAAAAATCAAAGAAAATCATTGTCTACGATTTGTTAGTAATTTTAAAATAAAGATCATAAAGTTTTGTTTCTTTTTCAGTGAAAAATGCAAGAAGAAACTTATTGCTGGAAATTATGTAAGTCTTGGATAGATGGTATAATAGCAATGAGTTATACATCTTAGGTGTTAGTCCAAACATAGCGTTTGGGTTACTAAAGCTTCAAAAAATCGTAATGTATTTATCACAAAGCAAAGTAAAAAGCATGTAAACTTCATATACAAGAAATAAAAAAAGGTAAAATAAAAGGCCTAAATAACTTTAGCTTTAAAAAAAATTAATCTTGAATAGAAACTAATTCATTTCAGAGCTAAAATGTATTTTCATTTAATTTTTTAAATTTAACTAAGCATAAAAAATGTGAAATAAAACAAATAGACATCTATCTAAAACAAAAAAAAATTTCCAGAAAGAAACACCAAAGTTTATAACAGCAAATTAAAAAAACTAAATTACTATTATAAGTTATTTAAGTATATTTTATCTAAGTTTTCAATCCAGTAAATTAAGAATATTATAAGAATTTAAATCTACATGATTACCTTTTTCTTTAACACTAGATTGCCCAAAGAAGTCATTTTGACTGTTTTTTAATTTCAATTAAAAAAACAATGATGTATATAATGACACAATTTCTTAGGATTTTATGACTTTTTGTACAACATATAATTTTTTTATTGCTAATATTTACTAATAATTTGCTATATAACTGTAAATAATATAAAAAATTTATATAATTAATTTAAAAAAAATTTCTTTACGCATTATTTATTCTTTCACAATCCAGTCATTTTGACTGCTTTTGGGCAATATAGGTATACACTAAGTTTCAGTCTTTCTAGTGTTAAAAATTATTTTTCTCTTTTATCTTTTTCACCTCTTATTAAAAACAAAAAAATCATGGCGGAAACATTTAAAAACAGGTTTAGAAATAAGAATGATAGAGTTAGAATAAATTAATTTTTAAAAGAAATGTAAATTAGTGAAATTAATTTTAAATATTTATACCTAGGTAAAAGAAACAAATTGTTTTTATTCATTTAAAAAAAAACTACTTAGGTAGACTAAATTAATAATTTAGATAGAATAAATTTAACCATTTTTTAAAAAGACTTGTTTCTTGTGGGAGAACAACCCATTTTATATGGTTGATGACAAAAACTCAAATCTATATCTTGTCAAAACAGATATATTTCTCTCGGGTAACTTCATTGCAATTTTTAAGATTTACATAGGATAACATACATTTTATCAACAATTTACTCATCATTAAGTCAGCAAATTTTTTTAAAACCTAGATCTGAAAGCTAACGTTTATTTTTTGCATTTTTTAGACCATGGAGCACCATTCCAAAAACTTGGATGAAATAATTTTATTTTAACAGAACTATTTTTACATTTTTATGTTGGAAAATTAAGGGAGGAAAAGGCTAAGTAGATTGCATATTCTTGAACATATCAACAAAAGTTAAATTTTTTAAGGACAGTTTTTTGTTTAAACAGATCAGTACAAAGTTTAGAAAATTGTAAAATCTGACAAAAATAAGAAGAATCCTATGCCTGATTAATAGAATAAAACCTTGTTATAAAATTTAGACTAACTAATATGATAAAAAATTATTACAAATACAGTGACTTTTATCATAAAAAAAGGAAAGTGCGAGAATAGTTTTTGATTTTTACATAAATTATAACTCAGTCAAAATATTACAATTATTTCTGTCGATCTGCATTATATTGTAGTTTGTAACATGTTCTACCATCACATGTTGTACCGGCCATAAGGGAAAGGTTAAAATGTTCATCAACTAAATAGGAAATCTAAAACTGTTCGGTACAATACTTTTGAAAAAATGCGATGCATCACATCTTTTTAACTATTCCTTTTAATTTTGCACTATCTTTTATGTTTTGTAGAAAATCTCTGACCAGGAATTGTCAAAATGTATGCAACACAAACTTGAATTCAGGCATTAAAAAATTTAGAAAAGAAAGTTCCCAGAAAAACCTGTTTGCCTTAAACAATTATTGAGCACATCAGCTTTTTTAACTGACAATGACCAAAGAGCTTTGATTACAAGCAGAATAAAATCAACTATTAAATTTTTTTTTCTTTAAATAAATAAAAAGGTAGCTAAAAAAGCCTAAGATTAAATTTAGTTGTTAGAATTTATTCTTTTTCTTTTACAAAACTTGTTTGAAAAATTAAAAGTTATCGATGTAACAAAAAAGTTTTTTTGCAGAAGCTTTTGTTGAAATTAATGGAAAAATAAGAATAATTTTAAAAAATGAAATAATAAACTATAATTTAGATTTGTAACTAAATAAGAAAAAGTAAATAAACTCTTACCTTCATTTTCATCTTATGGACATCAAAATTCCACAAATAATCAAGAGCTATATACATAGGCCGTCTATACTGAAACTTTTGTTCAAAGGCAACACTATGACTCTCAATGCTTACAAAAACTTTCAATAATGTAGGAATCATTTCAGACACAAAATGATGAGAAGTGAACAACTTTTCACGATAAATACCACTGAAAGTGAATAAAGTAAAGCAATTGAGAACACAAGTTATGCTTTTATTTTAACATAATACAATTTTTCTTTAATTAGGCATTATTAGAGATTCTTCAATTACACAATTTTTTCTTTATATTGAATAAACACACACATATATATATATGCATGTACATATATGTATATATATATATATATATTTACATTGATGATTTTACAAATAGGGGAATATTTGGTGTATGTAACTTTATTAAAAAATCTGTAATATTTCCAAGGTTAGTCATAATATATTATGAGCAGAAGTTAAATGTTTTGTATTTTATTTTTCAATTTGTATTTATAACATGCATGTCAAAAAGAACATGATAATAACCGGGTCTAAGATGTTGATGACCTGAAATTTCTTTAAAAAAATACAAGGAAAGACTTTAAATACCAGCAAAAATAACCTTAAATGTCCTTTAAACTTTCCGAAAAATGTTTATATATTAGTTTTTTTGAAGTTATAAAATGTAACTAGTATTTTATGAAAAATAAAATAAATTTATAAATAAAATGATAACCTCAAAAAGATAAACAAGTTATTACTTTTTAGAGACAATTTCCAAGATTATCAGAATTGCATTGTATTATCAAACTTTTTAAAACTGCAAGAACAGATATTGCCTGAAAGCACATTTTAATATCAGGAACTTTGTTCAACATTAACACTTGTTACTGGAGCACGGTAAAAATAACAAGATTCACTAATGGAAATTTCTACTTCAAATATTTCTTTCTCTCAAGTTAAAATGACCGAAATTGGCTCCCAAAAAAATTTGGGAATCAATATTTTCTTCTATAACATACTGTAATTTAGTAGCAATAATACTAAAAGTGTTTCCTATAACTTTTATCAGAACTTCACATATGTTTTGTATAAGCAATGGATTGCCTGTGAAAAATTTTATTTCCTGTTCATAAGAAGACCCTAAATTGTCGAAGATTTAATTCTGAAATTTAACTTAATAAATGTAAATTCCACCCCAATTTTCTAATCAGAAAATAAAACTCAGGCGATTCCGATTTATAAAACTATTCATTAAGAAAAATCCATTAGGTTTGAAAGTTATTTAAAATGTTAATATTTTAATTATAATATTTTAATGTTTATGTTAAGATTATAATATATTAATTTAAACTCTGTTGAAATAAAATCTATGCAAAATCTACATTAATTCACAAAGAAAAATTACTTGACAAGTACTATGAAAAATATACTTAAAAGTTCACAAAATTTAATACAAAAAAGGAAAAAATAAAAAAAATTATTATCCATATTAATGCGTATTAAAAATATCGCGATTTTCCAAACTATGTCGAAATACATAGTGCAAAAATGCAATAAACAAATAGCTTGGATTTACAATAAAATCGACAAATAAAGCATGTCAAATGTGATTACTAATTACAGGATTCGAAATTCACGAGTTGCTATAATATCATATTAAAAAGATCAGAATTTTAAGAACCTCGTGAAAATCTGACAATAACCTCCTAAAACACCATCGAAAGGTCACTTGAGTAAATTATGAAATAAGACTCAAGTAAAGAGCTTCATAAGTAATTGCTAAAACTTGAAATACAGGCATCATAATTTTGTCAAATGAAAAATATTGGGATTTTTAAAACTTTGGAAATTCGTAGTGATAAACTCCAAAAAAATTATCGAAAAACTACATTGATTTAGATTTGGTGTGGCAAAAACTTAAATGTGTAATTAAAAATTTCAAATTTTTTGCTTTTTTTTTTTCAAAAAAAAAATTACAATAATAATTTTTTTATTATGTTCAAGTACTACCATAGGCCACACATCAACAGCTAGCGGGTAGCAGGTTGTGCACTCCCATACATATAGTGTATTATTTCTGATTCGTGCGCTGCCCTTGCAGGGTATCGCTACACAACTGATTACGTGGGTCATTTACCCTTTAAACAACACGCATAAAAGTTCTGTATCCCTGTAAAAATAAAATGGTAAATATAAACATTTTCTCTATCAGTTTAAAAAAGTACTACCTTGATAACAGAGTACTAGGTTCATTTTCATTAGAAGGCATCAAAGATTCCAGCATCTCAGCTAAATGAGCCCGTAAATGAGGATTTTTAACTCGTTCTGGACTACCCATAAAAATTAAAATCATAGTCATAAAGTGATCTAATTGTGGTCCAGCAAGCTAAAGAAGGGGGAAAAAATGAGAAATAATTAAAGACAGCATCACAGAAAGTTGTAAACAGAAATATTTCAGAAATTAGCTGCAAAAAAATTAGACAAAAGCTATAAAACTAAAATTTTCGAATACTAATTTGATTTTCAATGTAACGCAAAAGGAAAAAAAAAACTGAGACAAATCGTCAAAGTCTTAGTTGTCCTATATAAGGCTGCATATACATCAAGGGCTGAATTTTCACAAAAGTCTTAATAATTCAAATAAGAAAAGAAAGAGTATGCTTTATAACAAACTATTAACTGTTGCTATTTTGTATTTAGCACAATTTTTTTTCTTTTTCTTTATTAACTTGAAAATTTCTACTCAACACAGCTTAGCATTCCCCAGTGGCAGCCTGAAGTTCATCCAACTTCAGATCAATGGTTAGCAGCTTGCCTGGGAAGTTAAGTTATTGGTGCTTAATTCTGATCACATTTTCATCATAATGATATAGGTCTTGAAACTGTGAACCCTTAACCTCTGTGACTCATCTGACTGACAAATAGCTATTTCAGGAATGCTTTACTCTACTATTTTAGATTAAACAATGTTGTTAATTTATATGAAAAATAAGTTTGCACTGTAAGAGATGATAAAGCTTTTAACAATATCTAAAAATTATTTCTCATAATGAAATTAATGTGTTTTAAATACATTAGTAACTTAATAATTTTAGGAGCATTTTAAACAACTTCTAACAGATTAAAAGGTGTATAAAAGACTCTTTCCCTCAACTTTATAAATGAATATTATCAAAAATGCTGAAAACATAAGAAAAATCTTTAAATCAGTAAAATAAATTAGATATCTGTAAAAAAAACAATCTATAAATATGTATGCCTAAAAAAATAATTTCAATGTCTATTATTTTTATAAAGAATGAATAAAAAAAACTTTTTATAATGAATGAATAAAAAAATTTTTAATAATGAATGAATAAAAAAAATTTAGACTTTATTTGTGCATTTACAAATTACAAAATTATTGTAAAGAAATTATGAAAGCGTTTTAAACTTTTTATAGTCAAAATTATTATTTTTATTTATCATAGACATTACTCTTTTCTTTCATTCATAACCTTTTTAAAAACTATATACATGTGACAATAAAGAGCAAAATTAATGGTTTCCACAGGCGGGTTAAGTATACAAATTGTGATTTAAAAATTGTCTGCCAATCCCCACACTTCATTGCAAAATTGCGGCCTGTGCAATTCATTATTATTTTTGTAATAAACATTGAATTATTATAAACCAGGGTTGGGTTTTTGACGTCAAAAAGTGGTTTTTGACATGACAAGGGTATAATACTGGTTTAAACCGTCAAAAACCCGTCAAAAATGTCAAAAACTGAAGTTTGCCAAGAAAATATATAAACTTCAAAACTACCAACAGTTGCCATGCATTATATTGAAATTTAATTATACTATAGGTAATCAGCAGGTTTTAAAATATTTTTTAATTAAAATTAAGGTAAAATAACTTAAGTTTTACAAACATTATATAATAACCGATAATAAGGC